TTTGTTTTTTTACTTCAAAGTAAGATATGTGCAGTGTGCATAGGAATTTGTTCATAGTTTTTTTTTTAAACTATAGTCCGGCTCTCTAATGGTCTGAGGGACAGTGAACTGGCCCCCTGTTTAAAAAGTTTGAGGACCCCTGGTCTACACAGTCAAACCCACAGTTCACTATATCTGGGATAATATTCTCAGGTAGGCAGGGTGTTCTTTCAACATGTAGTTCCAAATAACTTTTTCTTCAGCAAGTATTTTTCATGTAATTTTGTTCTGATATTTTAAAATCTCTAAAATTAACATTATCCCACTAATCCTTTATGATTTCTAAAGCCATCCTCTTTTTTTAAAAAATTCTATTTTCGCTCAGCCTTTGTGACTCAGTGTTTGAGTGTCGACACAGGAACCAAGAGGTCACCGATCAATGGTTTCTCTTTCCCTTCCTCTCTCTAAAAATCAATAAAAACATTTTTAAAAATTCTATTTTCCTTAAGGAATTATCGGTTGTTTATCTACCTTTGTGTTTATTCTAGTTTAGTCTTCATTTCTGAATTATTTTTTCCCTTATTTATAGTATTTTCCAGATTCTGGTTTTTGGTATTCTTTCACATTTTGAATCATTTTTGAAACATCATATAACCTACTTTTAAATAATAGATTAGTCTTTACTTACTTTATGGGCATGCTTTTCTGACACGCTTTCAATGGATATAGGATGTAAAAATCTTGCAGGACTATATACTTTTATGTTACTTATTTTGGTATGAAATGAGTTTTTCTGAACTTTTAGAAAGAGGCTTGTTTCAGGATAACTTCTCTAGGTCCAGAGTTGCCCCTTCTGTTGTTTTTGTAAAGTACTGGGAAGTATGGCAGCTTACTTTCTGAGATTTTCATAGCTTTTTTCATTTTTGTTGTTGGTTTTTAGTAATTTTACTTATTATTGGGACATAACAGATATAACATTGTGTAAGTTTGAGGTGTTCAACATGCTGCTTTGACACGTTATTTCCTCACTCTTTAAATAAATGCTGTGATGGATACAAAGACACATCTACACTAATAAAAGACAAACATGTAAACTGACCGTACCTTCACTATGCCCCAAGCCACGCCCACCAGCCAATCAGAGTGACTATATGCAAATTAACCCAACCAAGATGGCGGCCGGCAGTCACAGAGCTGGAGCAAGCAGGAGGCTTGGATGCCCGGGCGGATGGAGGAAGCCAAGCTTCCCACCTGCCGCGGCTGGCTCTGAGCTCCACTCAAGGCAACGAAGTTTCAATTATAGAAGATAAACCCCAGATACCTGCTTTCAGCTGGCCATGGCCATGGAGCTGGATCGAGCAAGAGGCTTGGGTTGCCCCTGGTGATGGAGGAAGCCAAGCTTCTCAGAGCCCTGGCTGGCTCTGAGCTCCACTCAAGGCTACGAAGTTTCCATTATAGAAGGTAAATAAATCCCAGAATAAAAAAAGAAAAGAAAAAAAGGAGAGGCTGGAAGCTTCCGTCGCCGGGGGGCTTAGCCAGCCTGAAAACGGCCCTCAGCCCCTCACCCAGACTGGCCAGGCACCCCAGTGGGGACCCCCACCCTGATCCGGGATACCCTTCAGGGAAAACCAGCCAGCCCCCACCCATGCACCAGGCCTCTATCCTATATAATAAAAGGGTAATATGCAAATTGACCCTAACAGCAGAACGACTGGGAATGACTGGTCACTATGACACACACTGACCACCAGGGGGCAGATGCTCAATGCAGGAGCTGTCCCCTGGTGGTCAGTGCACTCCCACAGGGGGAGCTCTGCTCAGCCACAAGCCAGGCTGATGGCTGCCAGTACAGTGGTGGTGGTGAGAGCTTCTCCCACCTCCTCAGCAGTGCTAAGGATGTCCGAATGCAGCTTAGGTCTGCTCCCTGCTGGCAAGTGGACATCCCCCGAGGGCTGCCGGGCTTGCCAGTGGGATGTCTGACTGCCAGCTTAGGCCTGATCCCCCAGGGAGTGGGCCTAAGCCAGCACGTGGACATACTCCGAGGGGTCCCATACTGCAAGAGGGCATAGGCCGGGCTGAGGGACCTTCCCGAGGGCACAAATTTTTGTGCACTGGGCCTCTAGTATAATATAATAGTAACACATTGTTTGCGGATAGTTTTTATCGTGCGCTAACAGGTGGCACGGGCCATTTTTGCTAATTTTTTGCGCAAATGGCAACGTTCAGTAAAATTACGATAACTTTAGTTTACGTATTTATACGTTACCTGCATTCTACCGCTAGTCTATAAAAAACGTATTAATACGTGTCCCGCACTCTGCTACACTGGTAGAACGTATAAATACGTAAAACGTATAAATATGTTTCTCGCATACAATGTGTTAAGTACAAAACAAACATAGCAAATAAATATTTTTAGCAGATAATAAACTTCATGCTCCACAGAGGTCTATATAAATAAAATGCCCACTCAAAATAAACTCGTTTTTTTTTTACAAAAGTGTGTGTAACTCAAATGCGAGTTTAATGAGATTTAGTAGCCAGTTCTACCTTAAATAATTGAGTCCAAATACTAGTATAATTCTATTTACATTGAAAGAGAAAGCCTTCAATATAAAAGTTTTAGATGAAAAATACTCTATAAATGAAACAACAAATTGATTTTCATACATGCCAGTACATTCCTTAGAATCACTTTATCTCAGAGAACTAAACAAGTCTTCAATGGTAGTTTGCCTGGGACTTAAAAAGCATATCAAAACCTTCCATACAATGTGTTTAGTTATACTTTATAAAGCTGTATTAAAGATGCAGATTACCTAGACACATGTAATATGGTGAAATATATTTCAATTAAAAACCTCTTCTACACAGAAGAGCCACCGTGATGAGGTTCTCACCAGCCAAAGGGGATAATTTGAACAAAAGAATAATGACAGCAAATGACTGAAAGGGTAAATTAAGAAAAGAAAAAAGAAGTCTCAAGCTCACAGTGATAATGAAGGGGAGAAATTTTTTAATTACCAATGGACACCAATGGAGGTTGCTAGGGCACCAAAAATTACTCTGAAAACTAATAAAGAGAAAGGACTAAATATTTATCCTGCCATTCTGTCATATATGTGTTCTATGATAACCAAATAGTGCTATTCATGGATGGATCAAGATTCCTCTATATAAAAGAATTCCAGCTAATAAATACATCAGGAATGATATATTTGGGAAAATCATCATTCCAAACCTTAATGGAATAACCGATTCACACACATGTCATTAAATGCATGCTTTAAATATATTTTATTGATTTTTTTTACAGAGAGGAAGGGAGAGGGATAGAGAGTTAGAAACATCGATGAGAAAGAAACATCGATCAGCTGCCTCCTGCACACCCCCTACCGGGGATGTGCCCACAACCAAGGTACATGCCCTTGACTGGAATCGAAGCCGGGACCCTTCAGTCCGCAGGCTGATGCTCTATCCACTGAGTCAAACCGGTTAGGGCTAAATGCATGTTTTAAAAAAATGATGTAAAAATGTTACAGGGGACTTTCCAATGAAGGTGTAAAGGCTTCTTCTGTGATGTGGCCAGTGACCAACCTGAGCATCATTAAAAGGGGGACTATCAGAATTAGGTGTCTCTTGATTTCATCTGACAGAGTACATCACACTAATGTGAAATATTCTTGCTAAAAAACAAAACCCCAGAATCTAATTAATTAATCCTCTCCAGATCTAACTTCCAGCAAGCATGTCAAACTCGTCAAGTTTGACATGCTTGTAGGGCAGTGATGGCGAACTTCTGACACGCGAACTCATTTTTTTGGTTGATTTTTCTTTGTTAAATGGCATTTAAATATATAAAATAAACATCAAAAATATAAGTCTTTGTTTTACTATGGGTTGCAAATATCAAAAAATTTCTATATGTGACACGGCACCAGAGTTAAGTTAGGGTTTTCCAAAATGCTGACACGCCGAGCTCATCACTGTTGTAGGGTATAGGATAGATGATGAACAAGTTAAACAAGAAACAACCAAATTCAGTCCATGAGGCGCTATAGGAAACTCACACATGGTTCCTTCAACAAGTTACTGTGTGTTTGGGGGTAGGGGAACTAATTTAGATTTCAAGACACTGCAAAGACTAAACAACCAAGTACATGTGTACACCAACCATACATACATTTAAGTCACTTGGGAAATTTTTAAACAAATTGGATATTAGATATTAAGAAATCATTATTAATTCTGTAGGTATAATACTGACATTGTAATCACATATGGAAATGTTCTTTTTTGATATAGCCTCAAGTCTCTAGATTAACTGACATCACATTTGAGATATGCTTTCAACAAAATAAAAGAGGGAGAGAAAAAAAAGTATGACAACATACTGATGGTTACTAAAGCTGGATTACGGGTATATGGAGGTTTATGACAGATTTGCTCTATTTCAGCAGGCACTTAGAACTTTTTGTAATAATAAAATAAATCATTCTTTCAAAAACATTCAATACATATAATTGGCAAAGTTTATTATCAAGAACATTAGGTCTTTTAAAAGACTGTTTTGGTTTAAGAATACTGAAAGATGACAATCCACGATAAGACATATACAAACAAGGATAATTAAAATATTAAATACTATCTAAATTAAAAGGCCATAATTCAAATTGTTAACAATCTCTGTGTCTTGTTAGAAGCAGCTGTATAGTTCCCCTTCAAGAAATTCACCCACCAACTCATGACTACAAAGCCTCAATGCACTCAATTACATAATTTAGTTACCAATGCTGAATGTTTTGTGTTTACACATGCATTATCACAGAAAACACAAAATTCTATTTACAGAGTTTTTTTGTTTCTTTAAAACAGGTCTCAAGCATCTTTTAAAGTGCGAGATACAAATATGGTGTATCCTTGAAGAAAAAGGCTTCTAAAAGAAGTATGAGATAGCTGTCCAATACTGCCAAGAGTGGTTATATAACTAACCGAAGAAAAACCGGCAGTGCCCTGCTGTCTTAGTGTAGCAGCCTCTTCCTTTGTAGTTGGTTGAGTTCTTAGCTCTCACTATACTACCAGCCAAACATGTACTCCATTGCTTTGGATACAAGACTTTCATCTTTTTTTGGCGTCTGTCTGTCAGAAATGACCTATTTTGAAAAAACACAATTGTTAAGGTTATGTTTTCTTCAGTATCATAGTTAATTCTAGAGTTAATGGCTAATTTAATAGAGCCAAACATTAAAATGCATTTGTAGAAATTAACTGTATATTTAAAGGTTAAAACATGGCTTTGGTTAAAACGTCTGTATGTTTTTAAGAATGTTAAAATCTTATTCCTTTGGCAAAGCAAATTACATCTACTCCTTAAATTAGAAAACTGGAGAAACACAAAAGTTACTAGAGATGAGGGCTTTAAAATATTGGTTTAAAAAAAAAAAAAAACTAAAGGGGAAAAATGTCACCAGTTCAAGAATTTTCTCCACATTTCAAGAGGAAGTGAAAAGACTAAATCGACAACTTTTTTATTTGCTCTTTTAGAGCCCAGGTCTGTTGCTAGGCAAGTTCAGAACTCCTGCCTTATTAGTTAGGGGATAATAACATACTGAGTGAGAGTCATAATACTCCTACCATTCTTTAATGAATATAAATAAATTTGTCCTTTAAACATTTTTGAAATGAGAAAATTTGAAATGGAAGCTGGTCAATGTTTTCTTTGGATAACCAAAGGCTATTTCAACAGAACTGAAGGCTCTTCATTTGTGATACCATCAGATTTAGTTATCAATTTAATAGGTTTTTAAATATTCCCTCATGCCACAAGAAAAACTTTTTACATATGCCAAGATAACTTAGAAAAAAAAATAGACTATCAAAATGTTTTTTAAAATAGCAAAGAATTTTTTTTTAAATTCAAGATGTTTCTAAATTGACCAAAATTCTCATTTTTAAAACAGGAAATTAAAGAATGTAAAGTTTATAGGTTTCATCAAGTCAATCACTTCAGTGGGAAATATTTAATGGCAGACAAATCAATCCAATGAAAAAGTCAAATATTCTAAGTAAGCACTTCAACCTTTAAAGTACATTCTTTTTATCCAACCCTTAAAATACCTGATAGTCACTAGTAGAAGCTTTGTATGCTGTAGCAAGAGGTCTCATGGTAGAAATCCTAGGAGTACTCCCAGGCTGGGATGGTGTTCCTAAGGTTTTGATTGGTGGTGTAAAGGCTAGAGATGAAGATGATACAGCATACCTGTCACTGTTTTCCATAACACTCTAGAGGAACAAAGATAAAGAACTTCTCTGGTTATAAAAATAATACATTATTACAATCTACTTACAAAGAAAACTTCATTAAAAGATATATTCTATTTGATCTAAGTAATATTTTAAATAATTTTGGGCTTGATTAAACAATGTATGCTTCTTGGCTAGCATTTGAGATCTAATGTTCAGCCAGAAATTTAACTTCAATGACTTCAAATATCCTCAAGACAACTAGACTCACAAGAGTAAGAATCTCCTAACAAACACTATGGAAAATCAGCAAGAAAAAAAAAAAAGTCTTTGGGGAAATCTGGGGGGAGGGAAAATTAAAGTCCAGTGCTATTTAGTACCTGTAACCCCAAATTCTCATCTAGCCTCTGCAAACATCTGGTACAGTGATCCTTGACTATAAGCACCAAGAACCATGTCCACTTTGTGCATAAGTATGTATATAATCTCCAAGCAGTCCCTGGTAGGTAGTATATTTCACATTTATTTATTTAAAGAATGATCAGGATGACTTTAAGTCACAAAGAAAACTTTAAGTTGTGCTCAGTATTGTTTTATAAGTATATAAATATATAATAAATTTTAAATATTTTAAAATAGAAATAAAAAGCTTCCACCTTTAAGTTAACCCTCATGTGAAATATTTAATTCTGAAATAGCACTATTCCTTTAAAGTAATTAAAGAATTCGAAGCTGCTTTGCATAAGACAGAGAATGGTTTAGAAGAGACCTAGAATAGAATTGAGGCCTCATCTTTAACAACTCTGGATAAATTACTTAAGTCCTTTTCAACTTATCTTTATCTTTAAAAGGAAATAGTTGGGATGGATTACCTCTAAATTTTAAAGTCTTGTGACTAAATATATTTGGCTTACCAAGAAAAGAGTACAATAATACCGTCACAGTTTACAAACTAAGAAAAAGAGGCCTACTGAAGCAAAGTGACAGAACCACCCATGTCAATATTTAGATTTGTGCTCTTCACATGGATTAAGGCAGCGGTTCGCAACCTGTGGTTCGCGACCCCTTTGGGGTTGAACGACCATTCACAGGGGTCGCCTAAGACCATCGGAAAACACATAGATAATTACATGTTGTTTTTGTGATTAATCACTATGCTTTAATTATGTTCAATTTGTAACAATGAAATTGGGGGTCACCACAACATGAGGAACTGTATTAAAGGGTTGTGGCATTAGGAATGTTGAGAACCACTGGATTAAGGCATTTCCCTTACATCAGCAATAACTTACTTTATCTATACATGGTTTTACACCAATCATGATGGACTCGCCAAAAATCTTCCCATCTTTGCTTAAGGCTTTCCGAGCCTGCAGTTTAGATTGATAACGGATATGCATCCAATTTCCAGTATTAGACATCTGCAAAGAATAAAGTTGTCTCTTAAAATGTAGAATATATAAAATCTAAACTCAATGAATTACATTAGAAACTAGAAACATACGAAGATAAATCTGCTTCCACATTTGATGCACTATAACAACCTATATAGTTGGACTCAACATAAATCCCATTAAACAATTTCAATAATCTCTACCTAGCTCTCAATTTTCTAATATAAAGAATATGCGACAAAGATTATCTGAAAGTAAAGTAATTCTCAAAAGATAAGTTTCTAGTAAAAAGTTCTTATCAATACTTGCTATGAAATTTTTAAAACTGTATTCATCACCTGATTTTGTATAGAAGTTAAATAAGTCAATCTCTAGTAATAGAAAAAACTTTGTTATTTATAACTTGTGTAAGGCTAAGATAATAACAACTGCAGCAGCAGCAACAGCAACAACAACAACAACAAAGTCCTGGCCAAGTGGCTGGAGCAAAAGGTTTTGAGTTCCATTCCTGGTCAGGACCCATACGGAGGCAACCAACTGATGCTTCTCTTTCTCTATTTAAAAAAAATTTAATTAATCAAAAAAACACACATATCATTGGATAAGGATTTTTTTTTAAAGCTCTCTATAAGCTAAAAAGCCTTGAGAACTCTAAGTCAGGAACACCTCTCTTTTCCTTTATCCCCAATAAAACAAGCTCAAATTGGAAAACAGTAATATAATATATGGCATAATTTATGTTTTTAAAAGACTGTAAACTAATTAAGAAAAGGGTTGGAGAGAAGCCTGAAATTCTAGTTCTCTGGCTTATTTTCTCTTTTTGTCCCTTTTTGACAAATACTATACAATTTCCAGCCTTCCTGACTCTAACAGAAATAGTCCATGAAACTTAAAAAAAAGTAGGAGCAGACAAAATTCAGCAGCAAAGTTTCCTTCTATTCATAGCTTATCTGTCCTCAGCCTAAATCCTGAAGTGAAAAGAATTAAGCCTTACCACATGTTTTAAGATATTCCCATATTGTGCAAATTGTAATAATATATAGGAAGCAGATGCCTGAGGAAACCTGAAAAAGAGAGTTGACCAACAATAAATACGAATAGAAATCACCACACTTACAAGTGTTTCAAAATAAATTCCTTCCAACTGTCTAGAACAGCAATTTTCAACCTTTTTCACCTCATGGCACACATAAACTACTAAAATTCTGCGGCACACCAAGATATGTCTTTTGCTGATCTGACCAAAAAAAAAAACCCAACAGGCATAAATTTGATTCACAATGGATGGCTATTGTTGTACTGGCTGTTGTCATTTTTTTATTTGACAAAATAAGGGAAAAGAGGTCAGTGCCCCTGACTAGTCAGGCATTGCATGCTTTAACAATTCTTGTGGCACACTAGTGTGCTGTGGCACACCTGCTGAAAATAGCTGGTCTAGAACCACAGGAAATCCTTGATCATCCCATTCCCCCATCAGCTGAATCTATCACTGCCCATAGCCCAAAAGTAAATGTTAAAATTAGTTTTGACTCAGCCATTCTACTATATCTCCAGATTCCTTCCCTGAAACCTCTGAAATTCTCTCAATGCCACTATCACAGCCCTCAGAATAAAATTATAAAGTTGCAGTTTTGTATATAATTTATTTTACAAGGGTGGTGTGTGTGTCAGAGAAAAAGAGAGAGGAGAGAGAAATATTTAGGTACACTACTGTTGTTATTATTTTTTAAAAAATACATATATTTCTTTATTGATTTCAGAGAGAAAGGGAGGAGAAAGAGATAAAACATCAATGATGAGAATCACTTATCAGCTGCCTCTTGCACACCCCCTACTGGGGATCAAGCCTGCAACCCAGGCATGCCCTTGGCCGGAATTGAACCTGGGACCCTTTAGTCCACAGGCTGACGCTTTATCCACTGAGCCAAGCTGGCTATGGCTAGGTATACTACAGTTATTAAAACAGAAAGAATTTAAAATTATATAGTCATATCATTATATACCGAGCACCTGAAAATTCATAAATTTAGTCCTGAAACAAAAATAACAGTCAGTGCCAGTACCAACCATATACAAACATTTAAAAGGATGGTTACTAAAATTTTAATAGCCATATACTCTGTATGGGAAAATTCTAAGTAACTTTTACTTTCTTTATCAAGTTCTCTATGATTTGAATATTTTACAAGACATTAATACTTATATAGTCCAAAAAACTATTTCAATTTGAAAATCTGGAGTTTCCTTAGCCAGGAATTCAGTTATCTGGGGCCAGGATTAGGAAAAAATAAAAAAAATCTGAGTCCCCTAAAATAAATAAGAAACACCACACATTAAAATCCATGTGAGTAAAATACTCACTGCACTCAGGACTGGAATTTTATGTTATACTAGAGGCCCGGTGCACAAAAATTTGTGCACTCGGGGGGATCCCTCAGCCCGGCCTGTGCCTCTCGTAGTCTGGGACCCCTAGGAGGATGTCCACCTTCTGGCTTAGGCCTGCTCCCCAGGGGATCAGGCCTAAGCTGGCAATCAGACATCCCTCTGGCAGCCTAGGAGCCCTTGGGGGATGTCCACTTGCCAGCAGGGAGCAGGCCTAAACTGCAGTTGAACATCCTTAGTGCTGCTGAGGAGATGGGAGAGGCTCCCGCCATCACTGCTGTGCTGGCAGCCATCAGCCTGGCTTGTAGCTGAGCAGAGCTCCCCCTGTGGGAGCGCACTGACCACTAAGGGGCAGCTCCTGCATTGAGCATCTGCCCCCTGGTGGTCAGTGTGTGTCATAGTGACCAGTCATTTCCAGTCGTTCTGCTGTTAGGGTCAATTTGCATATTACCCTTTTATTATATGCCTGGTGCATGGGTGGGGGCTGGCTGGTTTGCCCTGAAGGGTGTCCTGGATCAGGGTGGGGGTCCCGCTGGGGTGCCTGGCCAGCCTGGGTAAGGAGTTGAGGGCTGTTTTCAGACTGGCCATACCACCTTCAGGGTGGGGGGTCCTGTTGGGGTGCCTGGCCAGCCTGGGTGAGGGGCTGATGGCTGTTTGCAGGCTGGCCACAGCCCCTTCAGGGTAGGGGTCCCCGCTGGGGTGCCTGGCCAGCCTGGGTGAGGCGCTGAGGGCCGTTTTCAGGTTGGCCACACCCCCTTCAGGGTGGGCGGTCCTGCTGGAGTGCCTGGCCAGCCTTGGTGAGGGGCTGAGGGCTGCTTGCAGGCTGGCCACAGCCCCTTCAGAGTAGGGGTCCCCTGGGTGAGGGGTTGATGGCTGTTTGCAGGCTGGCCATGGCCCCCAGCCACCCAAGCTCCCAGTGGACGCTGGCTGGAAGCAAGTATCTGGGATTTATTTATCTTCTATAATTGAAACTTTGTTGCCTTTAGCAGAGGCCACAGCCGGTCAGGGCAGGCGGGAAGCTTGGCTTCCTCCATCGCCGGGGCAACCAAGCCTCTTGCTTACTCCAGCTCTGTGGCTGCCGGCCGCCATCTTGGTTGGGTTAATTTGCATATAGTCACTCTGATTGGCAGTGGGCGTGGCTTGGGGCATAGTGAAGGTATGGTCAATTTGCATGTTTCTCTTTTATTAGACTAGATAAGCTTGAATATGATTTCTAACCCTAAAGAAAAACAACAAATGAGACAGGGTGCCTAACAAATGAAGGAGGAAAATAATGGTTGCATGTGAGGAAGGTACTTCAGAAATAAAACATAATTCTAAGAGTCTAGGACCACTTTGACTAGTAACATTCCAATATCCTATAAAAGAATCACCCTAAAGCAACGAATGGTATACCATACTGACCCTGATGTATTTCTCTATAAATGATCAAAATATTTTATCCGTTAGAAGAAATGTTTTAATTCCTGCAACTAAATTCATATAGAGGGTTACTAAAAAAATAAAACCAACAGAAAATAAATAGCTGAGAAAGTGTATGTCTTTTAAAAAAAGGACTAGAAGAAGTACTTAAAGTAATTTACACAATTACTGAGGAATCTTATAACTGACACCATTACTACTGAGCATAAAAAACAGACTTTGGAGTGGACGTCCAAATTAAAAAAACAGAATTCATGAGAGAACATAAAAATTTAAACAAACACACACAAAAATCAAGTAGCCAGACAAAGTGTTATGAATAAAGAGCTGAGTGCAGGTTTTCTGCAGAACAAGAAAAAGTAATGGTCCTGCTTTTAACTTTATATACACATAGAATCAGTAACACATAGAATCTCTCTGAAAGATTATACAAAATATAGGTGGCAATTATTGCTTTAAAGGGAAAAAACTGTAGCTTGGGACCAAACCAGGAAGGAAAACTTTTCACTGTATATTCTTATTCTTTTGAATTTTAAATAAACTGAATAAAGCCCACTAACATTTACTGTGCATTGTTCTTCTTTCAAGGAGCTCATGTGTTACTTTTATATATTTTTTTACCCCCAAAATGAAATATAATTAGGTCTGATATCAGTATGACATATAACACTTTCAGAAACAAATCTTATATAGTATAGTATAAACAATAAGAGTTTAAAAATCAGAAGACCTGGGATTTTTGCTGAAGCTTTACTAATAACTAGATATAAACCTCTGAATAAATCAATCCATTTATATATCAGTTTCCTCATCAGTAAATGACGCAATATCTCAAGATGCTTTAAAGTAGTTTTTTGATCTACAAATCTATTCAATCTGGAGAATATTATGTTAAGCAAAATAAATCAGTTGGAGAAAGACCAGTATCACATGACCTCATTTATATGTGGAATCTAAAAAACAAATCCAGACATAGAAGCATGGACCAGACTGTCAAATCACAGAGTGAAGGCAGAGGTGGGTGGGTAGGTAGGTAGGTTTAACCAAAGAACTTATATGCATAGTAGAGGCCCGGTGCACGAAATTCATGCATGGGTGGGGTCCCTAAGCCTAGCCAGCGTTCAGGGCGGATCAGGTTCCCCGCCTCCCCGACTCCTCCTTCCCTCACCGCCCATGTCTGCTGCCACCGACCCCTGGTTCCCCATCCCAGCCCGGGGCCAGACCCGATCGGGAGATCAGGACCAGCTGGCTGGGGGGAGGGGCCAACCGCCACCGAAGCAGGCTGGCAGCGGGCCGATAGGGGCCTGCTGGCTGAGGGGAGGGACCTTCATCCCCCCTGGGAAAGGGGCCACATCCGCTGCCACCCACCCCCGGTTCCCCGGCTCAGCCCTGGGGCCTGCTAGCCGGGGGAAGGGACCTGGAGGTTGGCTGGCAGGCTCCTGCATAGAGCATCTGCTTCCCGGTGGTCAGTGTGCATCACAGCAACTGGCTGTTCTGTTGTTAATGGTTGCTTAGGCTTTTATATATATAGATATGCATAACCCACAGATATAATGTGTGGTGAAGGCCTGGGGCGGGGAGGATGCAGGTGAGGAGGGGTCAATGGGAAAAAACAGGATATCTGTAATACTTTCAACAATAAAGATAAATTTTTAAAAATCTATTCAAAATGCATCTAGATGTGTCAGGCACAATTTCTATTAATATTCAATATTCCGTGACTAGAAAGTATATGTATACTTGTGACATAGCATTTATATGAAATTCAATTTGTCAGTTCCAAACTGATAAAGTCCACTATTAAGCAGAGAAACAGTCACTAACCAGAAAGACAGAAAGGAGCTTCCTAAGTCTAATGGGGCAACCCTGTTCCAATGTCCAGCAAATACACAGAAGAGAAAATAATCTAAACTCTAGATAACAATGTGCACGATGAAGTGTCAGGGTGATCTGTACTGATGTCTGCACCTTACTCTGAAATGCACCAACAAAAATAAATTTAGCAAAGTGTTAAGTGCAGAATCTAGGTGGTAGGTATCTGGGTGTCTGCTGTGCAATTCTTTTAATTTTTTTGTATATTGGAGAAAAATCATTATAAAATGTTGACGAGGGGGTATTTTTTTTTAATGGTAAATGATCCAGAAACCTTACCCGAACACAGTTACCCATGTGTCGTCGAGGTGATCTTCAGACGTCAGAGAGTCTCCTTGAGTATAAAAAGGATCCAGCTGCGCAGGAGATAACGTTGTCTTTCGTGGCTGACCAATGTTTGCTGGACTAAACATGCTTTGCCCTATATTAGTATATTTAGTAAGTTAGTTACCAATATAAACATTTTGGTTATTTTTTAAATCAAAGCTTTTAGTTTTAAAGGAAAAAATATATTAAAAATTGGCAATTGCATAAATAATTTAAAATACACAACTGTTCTGAAATGATAATTTTATACCACCATACAATTTGAGAAGTCATTAATAAGTGAGAATAACTTAAGATTTTGCAAATGTTTTATTAATCTTCGGTTAAGCCTACACCAGAAGGATCTTTAGGCAACCTCAAAGACTTCTGTTGGGTTCATCTTCCAAACCTTTTCTCATGGCTCCTCTGCCTTAAGAATATTCAGTAACAACTCATTACCCACAGAACAAAATCCAAATGCCCAGGCCTCCACTCTAATTTCTACCCTTATTTCTCCAATATACTACTAAATGGTCCCTACCGTAACTCCTAAGATGTGAATGCAGTTTTCTTTTGTTCAGGTCATTTCCATCTGAAATGTCTGATTCTTTTCTTATCCTTCAATGACAGATACCAATTAATGAGTATGTCTACATGTCCAACATGCCAAGCTAAATGCTGTCCATGTTCATTTTATCTCAGAGGTGTCTTATTGAGACCACATGTTTCTGAGCAGTAGAGAGAGACCATTTGCCTTTAGTCTCTGGAGTAGTAATAATGATTCACTCATAAAGAAATATTTTTTCAGAAAAGAAAAAATATTTTTTCAGTATTAAATATGGACCAAGCATAATTCCAGGTATCTATGATACAGTAGTAAACAGTTAGGCTTAAAAACAACAGCCCAGTCGGCGTGGCTCAGTGACTGAGTGTCGACCTATGAACCAGGGGGTCACGGTTCGATTCCCAGTCAGGGCACATGCCCAGGTTGCAGGCTCAATCTCCAGTGTGGGGTGTGCAGGAGGCAGCCAATCAATGATTCCCTCTCATCACTGATGTTTCTATCTCTCTTGCCCTCTCTGAAATCAATAAAAAAAATTTTTTTTTAAAAAGGAAGAAGTAAATAAATAAATTAAAAATCAAAACAAAACAAAAAAACAACAGCCCTGGCTGGGTGGCTCAGTTGGTTGGAACATCATCCCAGGCACCAAAAAGGATGTGGGTTAGATTCCCAATCAGGGCACATACCTAGGTTGCTGGTTGATCCCCATATGGGAGGCAACCAATTGACCTTTCTCTTTCTGTGTCTCTCTCTCTAAAATAAATAAAAAAGGTATAAATGGATGAGGACCAAACAACAACAAAAAACCCTATTCCTAATGGGGCTTATATGCTAGTGAAAGAGGCAAATAAGTAAATACCTAATATGCCAGAAAACAGAAAATCCTACAGAAAAAGAAAAAGCAGAAAAGGGAGAGGAGTATATGTAGGTACATCTGTGAAAAGGTTTAATGAAAAAAATTTTCACTAAAATGCCATTAAAACAAAACCTGAAGGAGATGGGATGCAGAACATGCCAATTTGTGAAGATGTGAATATTAGTTGGGGAAAAAAGTGAGCACACAGGCCCTGATAAAGGACATGGACTGGTGTTTGATAAAGAGCAAGGAGGCCAGTCTTGCCCTGGCTGGTTTGGCTCAGTGGGTAGAATGTCCGCCTGTGGACTGAAGGGTCCCAGGTTCGATTCTGGCCAAGGGCTCATGCCTGAGTTGCAGGCTCAATCCCCAGTAGAGAGTATGCAGGAAACAGCAGATCAATGATTCTCATCACTGATGTTTCTATCTCTCACTCCTTTTCCCTTCCTCTCTGAAATCAATAAAAATATATTTAAAAAAGAAAAGAATAAAAAAAAAAAAAAGCCAGTCTTTGCACAGTAATGAGGGAGATTACACAATGAAGTCAGAACAACTATATGAGCACAGAGAGATAACAAGATACCAGGTCACAAAAAAAAACTTTGTAAGCCCCTGTAAAGACTTAGGCTTTTACCTGAGATGAGTTGGGATGCCACTGGCAAACTGTGAGAAAGGATGACATAATAGGACTAAAATTTTGAAGTGATGATGAATGGTAGATTCCTTTTCCTCAAAACTAAGTTTCATTATTTTTTTTGTAATGCAGTAGCAGTTGGAACAAGAGGCTCTAGAATAAAATAATAATCTCCCAACCAAAATCTAATTAATTGTCTAATCTAATCCCCTTACAATGAAGCCCAATAGAGATAAAGAGCCTCTCAGCCCCTCCTGCTGATGTTAATCACAGAAATATACTAATTCCAAGTAGCTTTTTAGTGACTCATTCAATAAATATGCCTTCACCAAGAAAGATAGGAGGTGGGAAAAAGAACCAGAAGAAAATAGACAATATGAGCAGGAATAAAAAAGACCAACATTAATCTCACTGGTAAGTTATTACTACATCTATGAAACAAGAATAGGAAGCTACATTTTTAAGTACATTAAAAAAGTCAACAACAGAAAAGGTTTGTGGGAATTAAAATAACAAAAAAATAAGAGTTGGAAACTGAGATTGAAGACAGCTCTCAGAAAGTAGAATATACGTAAAAAGACAATGTAAGGGAGAAAAAGTAGAAAATTAGAAAAATCTAGTGCTCATAATTAGCAGGAACTCCAAGAAGAAAGAACAGAGAAAACAGAGGGAGGACAATTATCAAATACTGTACAAGGAAGTTTCCCAGAACTATGGGTGTCATTAAAGGATCCGTCAATTAATTCCCTAGCGAAACAAACGGAAAAGTCCTAAACCAAGGCACATTTGTGAAATTGGGAACACAAACCACAGAGAGATCTTAAATTTTTCAAAACCAGGCCACATACAAAGGCTCATGAATCTACACTGTAAATAAGTTCTATAGAACATTAGAAGCTAGAAGACAATGGAATGATGCCTCCAAAATTCTGATGTAAAATACAATACTTAGCCAAGTTAGCAATTCAGTGTAAAGACAGAAAAAAAGGATTTCAGAAGAGGTCTTAAATTTCACTTCCCATGCAAGCTTTCCTAGAAAGCTACTCAAATATGTTCTTCACCAAAACATATTATTTTTAGAAATAAACTAAGAATGCATGTCATCTAGGGAAAAGCTAAACTCTAGAAACTTGCTAAAGCAAGTCCTAGGATGATAGCTGTACACCATGCTGAAACAGAAAACAGCCAAGAGAGGCTACGAGAGAGATGGTCTTAGTTGAAAACAAATTTAAAAATGTGCTTGACAATATGAACATTTTAAAAAAAGACAGATGTATAACAGCAAAAGAACATTTGCTTCAAAAACGGGAGCAAATGGCACATAGAAAATTAGACAAATGGGGAAAAAGACAATTATTAACTAAAGAAAAAATTGTACAGAAAGGATAAATTATAATACTTGAATCAGCACTGACAATGCTTTAGATAGTCATAATAATATAAAAATAACAAAGGAATAAAGTTTGATATAATTATATTGAGATAATGTGTGAGAGATAAGATGTAACATCTCCAATCACCTTAAATGTAGCAATATTGAAAACATAAAAGCAAGAATTAGCAGCAGCTGGCAGAAAAGTCAAGTCAAAGATCCACCAAGAAAGGTCAGAGAGATTCCAAGCACACAAAAGATTTAGCTACCACTCGCTATATTTAAAGATGGAAGGAGAGCCACGAGCCAAGGAATGAGCGCAGCCCCTAGAAGCTGAGCACAACCTCCAGGTGACAGCCAGCGAAACACCAGGGACCTCAGTCCTAACCACATGAAACTGAATTCAGCCAATACCCTGAATGAGTCTGGATGCAGCTCATCCCCAGGGCTTCCAGAAAGGAACATATCCCTATTGGCACCTGAGCTCTAAAGAAAGAACCAACCTGTGTCCAGACATCTGGCCTATAGAAACACAATAATAAATGTGTATTGTTTTAAGTCAATAAGGCTTCTGGTAATTTGTCATGGCAGCAATTTAAAAGTAATACATATATTGGTACAAGTGGGGTACTGCTGTAACAACTAAAAATGTGGAAGTGGCTTTGGAATCGGGCGGTGAGTAGAGATTGCAAGAAATTAGAGGAGCATAATAGAAAAAGCCTAAATAGCTTTGAACAAACTGCAAGTAGAAATCTGGACTTTAAGGGCACTGCCAGTGAGGATTCACAGACTGGTTAACTGAAATCTGGATTTGGATACTGCTTTTGTTATGCATTCTGACACAATGTTTTACCTGGGTGTTTATTACAATTTGTGTTATATAATTGTTGATTTGGTCCATTTTAAATTTTGCTATTGTTTCTTTTTTTAAAAGGTGTTCTTATTGCTTTTAGAGAGATAGGGAGAGCTGCCACCTGCACATCCCCTCTTGGGGATCAAGCCCACAACCTAGGCATGTGCCCAGACCAGGAATCAAACCACAACCTCTCAACCTGTTGGTTGGAATGTGCATGGGGCAACCCTCCAACCAACTGAGCCACATTGGCCAGGGCCCGCCTCCTTTATATCTAAGCCACCACCATCCCTCACCTGAATTAATGCAGTAGCCTTCTATCTGGTTTCCTTGCTTCCAACCTTACCCTTACCCCAAAGTCTATTCTCACCACAGCAGCAGGCTCATTCTATCTGTTTTCTACCTTTTCTGAGGAAAAACCAGTTATTACAATGACCTTCAAGGCCCTGTAACATTAGCCCCCACTACCTCTTTAACCTCATTGCCTACTATTCTCTCCCCCACTCAGTTCATTTCACACTGGCCTCCTTACTCTTTTTTTAACACCCTAGGCACACTCCCACTTCAGGGCCTTTGTGCTTGTTATTTCCTGTCTATAACACTTTCCCCTACCTCCCTTACTTAAGTTCAGGGTTTTGGCCAAATGTTTCTTTACCCTACCTATAGAAAGCAGAATAATGTCCTACACCCCAGTGTCCCTGTCCTTATCCCTGGAATCTGGGAATACATTCCATTATATGCAAAGGAGAATGAGGTTGCAGATGGAATTAGGCTGCTAATCGGTGTCCTTAAAATAGGGAGATTACCCTGGATTATCCAGAATGGCCCTAAGTATTCACAAGCGTCCTTAAAAGCGAGAGGGAGACATGACTAAGAGGAATGATCAGAGAGATGCAAAGTTGTTGATTTTGAAATGGAGGCAGGGGACTATAAGCAAAGAAATGTGGGCAGCCTCTAGAAGATGGAAAAGTCAAGAAAACAGATTCTCCCCTAGAGCCTCCATAAATTAACACTATGATTGCCTTAACTTCAGCCCATTGAGACCCATTTCAGACTTCTCACCTCCAGAACTGTAAAATAATTAATCTGTATTATTTAAGCCACCTTTAAGTTTGTGATAAGTTTTTATGGCAACAATAAGAAAATTAATACACCACCCTATTAAAAACTGTAAGCCCTCACTCCCTACTCCCCTTTACTGACTGTCCTCCATAAAATGTATTAGCTTCTAGCAAATTGTATAATTTACTTACTTTATTTATAAATGTAAATTCTGTAAATAAATGTAAGCTCTATAAAGGCAAGGGTTATCTATTTTGTTCAGTTTCTCAGGACCTGGTACATGATCATGTGTTCAATTATTTGCTGAATGAACATGAGATAGACTATAAATATGTAAGAAGAGTTGTGCTAATGATGATGTTGATGTGATAAAAAAATACCATTAATCTTAAACAAAAAACTAGGTATAACCCGTGGCTGTTAGTAGTTAATGACAGATTTATAAATATGCATTAATATCTCTCAAAACACCTTTTATTATTCACTCCTTTATGTATTCTTCTTCTTCCGAATTCCAATGGCCTTTTTTTAATTACAGTTTTTGTTTACTTAGCAGACACTATCAAGTATATTTTTTTAAATATATTTTATTGATTTTTTACGGAGAAGAAGGGAGAGGGATAAAGAGTTAGAAACATCGATGAGAGAGATCAATCAGCCGCCTCCTGCACGCCCCCCATTGGGGATGTGCCCGCAACCAAGGTACATGCCCTTGACAGGAATCGAACCTGGGACCATTCAGTCCGCAGGCCGACGCTCTATCCACTGAGCCAAAACGGTATATTTTTAAATTATTAATATTTTGAATATAGTTCACATTTTACCTTTAAATTCAGAGAAGAATCAATATACAAAGTATTTTCTTTCTGAAAGAAATTACTTACATTTGGAAAAGTCTCCAAGTTTGAAATATAAAAGAAATAAAGCTGGCAATTATCAATAAAGGTCTTATATTATCTTCATTCAAAAAAGTAGAGAACGGTCTTTGGTGTTAAAAGGCACTCTTACCTGTTCCAGGAGTAGCTGTCATAACTCCAACAAGAGGACTCTGCATTACTGATATGTTTGGCTACATAAAAAGAGAAGAAAAGTGTATGGTCAAAATGCAAAGTTCTAACCATAACATATACACAATAAGTGCTAAAGGGCTTCATTCAATAGACCACTGAATATCTACCTTACTGGAGATGCCTATAACTAGCTCACAATCAAACAGTACTCCCTTTTTTTTTTTTTAGTTGAGCAGTATTAATCGAAAATATGCTAGACCATTATCATACCATTTGTTTAAATTAAGTAAAGTCACATGTGGTAAAAAGATACTATTTTTAGTAGGAAGTAACACTGCTATTTGGTTTTAGTTCCTAAGGTACAATATTTGAACTAACCCAGGTAATGTTGATTCTTCAATCACCGAGCTCACATAGAAAAACAGAAAGATGGCAAAATTTTATTTTTAAACAAACACAAACCATGAAGTATTATAGATTCAAATCAGTCCACACAATAAAAGACAGTATACCTCCACTGCTACTGGTAGACAGTTACAAAATGATCAATAGTAGTTCTTTTAAATGTGAGAAAATTAAAGTAGCTAAAAGTCCTTCTATAAACAAAGACAACAATACCAAATCAAGAATGACTGCCGAAACTGGTTTGGCTCAGTGGATAGAGCGTCAGCCTGCGGACTGAAAGGTCCCAGGTTCGATTCCGGTCAAGGGCATGTACCTGGGTTGTGGGCACTTCCCCAGTGGGGGATGTGCAGGAGGCAGCTGATCGATGTTTCTAACTCTCTATCTCTCTCTCTTCCTCTCTGTAAAAAATCAATAAAATATATTTAAAAAAAAAAGACTGACAAGGCTCTCTAGAAGTAAATATATACAGATTTTTTTTTTTAATCTTCACCTGGTGTTATTTTTCCATTGGTTTTTAGAGAGAGTGGAAAGGTGGGGGAGAGACAGAGAAACATCGATGTGAGAGACACATCAATTGGTTGCCTTCTATACACACCCCAACCAGGGCTGGGGATCAAGCCTGCAACCGAGGTATGTGCCCTTGACCCTTCAGTCTGTGGGCCAGCGCTCTATCACTGAGACAAACTGGTGCTATATAGATTTTTAAAAAAACAGATTCTGATTGAATTAAGGAAATCTAAAATCTAGCAACCAGATTTTATCATCTAGCACTGAGAACCAAATGCTGAAAGAATGTTAGGAGAGATACAAAATGTACTGTTCAATTCATAATAACAACATCTTTTATAATTAGAGAGAGGTTGAGCAAAGTCTCAGGAGGCAAATCTAATTTGGGTTTTAACCTAATTATAATATTCTAACCAACTTTCAAGTCAAAAACATTCTCTACAAATTATGATCCCCAGCCTTTTAAACATTTTGAACATAGCAATTACTATAAATTACCTTTCTTTTCATGCATTGTCAGAGGAGCAATGAAAACATAAACTTCAAGCCAGGGGTTCTCACACCAAACTGAACATCATATTTACTTACCAAACTTTAGAAAAATATCCCAAAACAGAATATTCCGGATTTGTTAAGTCTGGAACACTACTGTCCAAATATAACATAAGTCATATAAGCAATTTTAAATTTTATAGTAGACAAGTATATCTCAATTAAATATAGTCACATTTCAAGTGTCAAGAGCCACACTTGGCTGGTGGTTACTGTACTGGAAAGTTGGGCAGATCTAGGAGTGTTGGGTAGAAAATGTAATTGTCTAAACATAATGCATTATCTTTGCTTTGCTTGACAAGTAGCCCTAATATGCCAGGGATCAAGCCTATAGTCAAAATTTACTGAAAGATGCTTTGTAATAAACTTTCCAACAACTATGCTATATTTTATGTAGGGAAAGGCATAAAACATTTCTCCAAAGGAAACAGCAGAAATGTCTTTATACAAAGAATGTGTCATTTTTATTGACACACTTTACTTTGTTTGCATGTCCTATTAAGCACAATAATGTGAAAGGAGAGAACACATAACTGTAAAAGCTACTAAACTTCCTACTTAAAAGAAAAATCTATACTACCTTTCCAGTGACAGTCAAGAATTATCATGGTAGAATTACAAACACTGGCTCTAGATTTAAGACTGCCTAGGTTGAAAGCCTGGCTCTGCTAGACTAACTAGCTGCCTTACACTTGACAAATCACTTAAGCTGTAAGATCAGAGCCTGTGTACCATAGGTACTTCATTAGTATTAGACACTTTCTTGGAGTAATCAGTCCCATCAAACCAGAGGCCTCTACCTTGCAAAATCTCTTGACCGAATACACCACCACAGAACACTTATACCTACACCAAACAGAGCTTAACATACATCACCATCAGAACACCTACACCAGGAATATACTAAACCAGCAATTTTCTTTTCTCTTTTTCAAAAAATGTTTTCATTGATTTTGGAAAGGGAGAGGGAGAGGGGAGAGAGGAGAAGGAAGAAGGAGTGGGGAGAGGGGAGAGAAACATTGATGAGCTATCTCCTGCACACTCCCCACTGGAGATGGACCCCAAACCAGCGACCTCTAGGTGCGTGGGATGACATTCAACCAACTGAGCCACACTGTCCAGAGAGAGCAATTTCAACCTTTTTCATCATATGGCACACATAAATGAATTACTCAAATTCTGTGGCACACCAAAAAATATATTTTTGCCAATCTGACAAAAAAATAGGTTTAATTTGTAAAGGTAATAATAATAGTAATTAGCTACCCTTTTTGCTTCAAAGTGACTTTTTAAAAAATCAGATGCCTATACTTGTATATAAGGATATTTGGTACCAAGAATTAACCAATCAGATGTAACCTTATTATGAGACATGACCAATAAGATGAAACTCTATTATATGACCTATGTATTTATGGTTCAAAACAGGGCATTCACACTAGATGGCTACTGTTGTGTTGGCTGTTGTCATTTTTTTTTTTTTCTCTTTCTGACAATCTAAGGGAAAAGAGGTCAGTGACCCTGACTAAATAGTCAGGTATTGCATGTTTTAAAAATTCGGCAGCACACTGATTGAAAATCACTGTACTATACTATCAGCTCATAAATATGCAGAAGGCAGTGTTTTTAGTAAAATACTTAGTGAACATAGCTCTAAAAGGATAGTGGTCTTACATTAATAAAATAATTCCTAAAACAAAGATCTCAAATCATTATGAAGTACCCTACATCTGGATAAAACCCTGAATCTTCATTTGTTCTTTCACAGAATCATGTATAAATATTAAACTTTTAAAAGAATTGGCGTGACTTAAACCATAAACATTTCTACATGTATATTAAGTACGCTGGGGCATGAACAGGTGAATAAAGGCATACCTATAAAAACCAGAGAATTACCTACATGAAAAAATAATCTGGAGTTCTATTACATTTTTAAGTGCATTTCATGATAAACACTATTTAAGTAGATTCTATGATAAATGTCCTTAATGCTTATTCTGTGCAACAAAATTACATTACAACAGACTCAGAGAAAATTTCAAATTACTGACCCTCACTATTATAGCCAACTAAAAACATGAAATTATCAATTGTGGATATGAGTGAGGGTATGTGTATTACCTGTCTTCTTGAGGTTAAAGGTGTTGATCCAAGTCCTGGGCTAGAAATGTCGTCATATATACTTCTAACTGGTGGAGCTCCACTTTTATCTTTATGAGCTGGTACAACTGGTTGTGGTGGTGACCCCCCTACAATGTACAAAAAAAATAGGTGAGAAAACAAAGAAGCCTTCTATCTTTCTGATACGATTTTTTAAAATAATCATATTGCCATTACTATTTAATTCTCCTGACCACAATCCTGTGACTTAGTAATGATTGCTATTTAATAACTGAGGAAACTGAGAGACAGGGAGTTGCTTTGCAGAAACTGCTCAGGAGCACTTTGCTAGGAAATAAGATTTTTAAAAAACGTTTTTAAAATGCTGACTTAAACTCTTGTCTCCTAGTTTTTCTCAAACTTTAATATACATGAAAGTCACCGGGAGACCTTGTTAAAATTCAGATTCTGACTCAGAACTTGTGAGGTGGAGCCTGGGATTACAAATGTCTAATAAGCTCCTACTGATGCCAATGCTGGTGATCCACAGACTGCACTTTGAATAAAGGTTCCAGAATAAGTAAATAGAAATTTTAGTTTTTAGTAAATACATGTAACTTTTGCCTTCTCTAGAAAATGCTTATTTAGCATTTCAACACAAAACTTGATCCTATTTTTTCACTTGAAAGTAGGTATTAAACAACTCCAGTCTGTATAGACTTGATTAAATATTATCCCATAATGTGGCATTTGTCAAAATTAAACAGATCCCATTGATGTTTCTCATAGTAAAAAGAGATTTAAGTACATAATAAACATATTTTTAAAAGAACCAATTTTTAGAGACAAAAATCTCTGTAAGTCTTTATAGAGATGTCTTTATAAGTCAGAGAATCAGCATGCAAGCAGTGAAGCAGCCTGTGTCCTCTGTAAGACTAATGACGGAGCCTAGACAGTACAGCATAAGCTATTTAGAGGACAGACTACAGAACAGGACTGACCTGGGCTTTACCCTCCTGCTCTGTCACTTAGTAACATGTGAGTTTCAGCAATTTCTTTATTGCATTTAGCCTCAGTTTCCTCTTGAAAAATTAAGATACTACCTACCCCTCAAGATTGATAAAAAATAAAATAAAATAACAAAATACTTAGCATACTTCCTAGCTCTTAAGTATCGCCAATATATGGTAGCTATAATATTAACACATTTGAAAAATATATACCAAAAAAACCCCCCAAAATCTGTCCAGAATGTTTTTAAGTTAGTTACTTCAAATATAATTTATAATTCCCTCTGATCTTTTACATATATATAAATAATATAACCACTTTAAACAAAATAATACCTTAAAGAAAATTAAAGTAAGAAGAGTTTATCTTTAAACATCTACCAAAAGAATATTAGCTCACATTTGGAATTCAATCATTTTTGTAGCTAATTCTCACTACTCATAGTCAAAACTTCAGTTATCTTTTAAAATATTTCTTTGTTAAAGGCATCCTGTAAAAGATATACGTGGTATTGAGGCAATAACGTTTTGCGCTGACGATTTACATAGCCTGTGTAAAAAGCTTCCCCAGTTTGCGAAGTAAGTCCTTTCACTAAACATACTATAAATGAGAACTTTAAATAACTCTGACTAGAAGTAGAATTCATATTTATCCACTTTTACATTACACTTGGTTTTTACTGAATATTTGCTATTATTATATTTAAGATTAATTAAGTTGAATTCAGCTGAAGTTAAACGACCATATCCCATCTTACCCACACACACATACTATACCATATTTGAAAAAGGGATGATAGATAAAAAAATTGATCTTGGCATTTCATCATATTTGTTCTTTTTTCTTAGTGGTACTTAAATAATGGTGAGTTTTATAATCAATGGCATCTTAGATCGGATAAAATGTAGTATGCATATTTTTTTAATGGGTGGTTCTTAGAATTGTAATACAGTGGTCCCCCCCTTACTGAGATTTTGATACTTGCACTTTTAGTTACCTGCAGTCTGAAAATATTAATTGGAAAATTCTAAAAATAAGCAATTTGTAAGTTTTAAATTTCATCCTGAGTAACATGATAAAAATCTCACATTATCCAGACTGAAACGTGGACCATCCCTTTGTCCAATGTATCCCAGCTGTACGAAGTTAATAAGATATTTTGAGAGAGAGAAAACCACATGCAGCATCCTATATAATAATGAGGTAATATGCAAATTGACCCCCACTCCATCACAAGATGGCTGCACCCACAGAAGAGGCAGGGTTCCCTTAACGACCCATAACGAGCGATCAGCAGGGACCTGAGGCTGCACCCCCCCCCCCCCCCCGCCCAGTGGGGCTTGATGGGGGACCTCAGGCCATTCCCCCCGCCCCGGCGCTGGACCAGGGGACCTGAGGCTGCACCCCTTGCCCAGCAGGGCTTGATGGGGACCCTGAGGCTGTGCCCCCCACCCAGCGGGGCTTGACGGGGGTGGGGCCAGCCAGGTCTGGGTCTCACATGATTTGGAGGTGCATGCGGGTGGGCAGGGACTTGACTCTGGGTCCCGTAGCATGCCCCAGACTCTGACAGAAGGAAGATTTTCATATATATTTTACTAATTTTCTTTCATCTCTGACACTTTTATTATAGAGAAAGGGCAAATAGCAATATCAAAATATTTCCTCTAATTAATTCCCTTTTAGTGTGCACAGATTTCATGCACCAGGCCACTAGTATTATTATAATTGTTCTATTTTATTGTGTTATTGTTAATCTCTTACTTTACCTAATTTATAAACTTTATCATAGGTATGTATGCATAGGAAAAAAACATAGTATATATAGGGTTTGATACTATCTCTGGTTTCAGGCATCCACTGGGGTCTTGAAACTTAACCCCTGAGGATAAGGATAGGGACTACTGTAGTTTATACTGCTTACACCTCTATTCTTAGAATCCTATATTGAAAAATAGAGCTATTACTTAACGCTTTAAATTAATAAATGGGTTGACAAAAGTGAATGCTGCACCATTACTCTTTTTAAAATTCTAGTACAGATACTGACATTATTATTTTAGGCAATTTACCTACCTGCAATTAAAGGTGATCTCATTTCCATTACTCCTACTGAAGGGCCACTAATTGATCGAGGTTGTGGAGTCACTGGTGCTGGTAAATCCCCCATTAAAAATCCAGGTAAAAACTGGGCATTAACCCCTGGTTTTGGAGATGTGGGCGAACCCAGCATCATTGGTTCAGATCCTAAATGAATCAGAAATAAAATAAGGACTTTAATGTTATAATAGCTAACAAAAAAATGCAAGAATCTAGCATAAGTTTGAAAATTTAATCAATGTTGTTAATTACTATAAAACCACAGTTGAATTTATTATTTTAAAAACGAATAAAATTATTTCTAGAAAACTATAAGAGAATTTTGTATTAACACTATTAATCTTTGACAACTGTTTTCATTAACATTTCACAGGTTTAAGAATCAACACTTGCCCTGACCAGTTTGGCTCAGTGGATAGAGCGTCGGCCTGCGGACTCGGGTCCCGGGTTTGATTCCGGTCAAGGGCATGTGCTTGGTTGCGGGCACATCCCCAGTGGGGAGTGTGCAGGAGGCAGCTGATCGATGATTCTCTCTCATCGATGTTTCTAATTCTCTATCCCACTCCCTTCCTCTCTGTAAAAAATCAATAAAATATATTTAAAAAAAAAGAATCAACACTTATTTTTGAATTTAATAATTTAATTTTTTTAAAGCAAAATGTTTACTGAAGGTACATTCCAGAAAACGGAGTGGGCTAGTCAGAGAGAGAGAGGGAGGGAATGGCCCCAAACTTCTGGGTTAAAAAAAAAAAAAATTAGTTTAAAATATATATATTTAAAAATCCCTAATACATAAAGGAAAACTTTCCATTTCTGGGTCAACTACTATGCAACAACCAAAACAAGGACAAGGTACACAAGTTACTTAAACAAATCAAACACAATGTTTAGCTTACTATATGTCCCATTTTTTTTCTTCCTTACACACAAAAACTGTAAATATTTTTTGTAATAAAAGTATAATCATGTATACATTAGAGCACATATGAAATAATAGTAATGATTAGCATCCCAACTAAGAAACATATTTAAGATATTTGGAAAGGTATTTTTAAAAATGATTTATTTTAAAATTATGAATAATCAATAAGTATCCCTGATATAAATTCAATTAAAAAGAGAACAGATACTTAACAATCATCATTTCAACATTAGTTTTCACAATTTACAGGGTAGGTATTATTATTCCCATTATGGAGATAAGGAAGCTATAACTTACTCTAATTTCAAAGCAGAATAGCATAATAAGAAAAACATGGGCTCTGGAGTCAGAGATCTGCATTCAAGTGTCTCAGCAAAATGGGCATAATCGTATCACCCACTCACAGAGTTTTGATTAGAATTATAGCAAGTGAAGCACTTGACCCAGTACTGAATATATAGCAAATGTTCAGCAAATATTCGTTATTATTATAACAGTAGTTTATAATAGCCAAAACTGAGTGATAAATGTATAAATGTAGGATATGCAATTTCTACTTATGAAAATTTAATTTTCGACTATGTGACAAGCTAAATGTGATTCATGGCACTTAGAAATAGCAAACGTTTTGTATGTTATTTATATGATCTTTATGAACTATTACTTAACTTCTAAACAGCCTCAAAAATGTGTTTCTTGCTATCCAAATGCTGTCACGTTTATGCTTCCTCATATCTTGTTATAACAGACCTAGATATTAGCAATGCAAGTGCATAAAAGAGGAAAAAGGCAAAGTAATTTAGGAAAAAGATAAAGCAAATACTGAAATAAGGCAGAAAGAACTATAATTACATTGTAATTATTTTCAAATGCTAGTTACTATATTACTATGATACTATTACATATTTCCAAAGAACAAACACTAAAGTCAAACCAAAAGCATTTTCTGAACAGATATTCAGTAATAAAAGTTTTAGGTAGCACCATCTACCTTCAATCTCCCATTTAACAACAGAAAAAAATATATAGCAAGTGTAACAAGTCAAAAAAAGTTCTGATATTATGTGGATATATATGGTGATACAGTAGAAAGCACTAGAGTAAGGGCAAAAAGAACTCCATCAGACTGTCACTAACCACCCTTCAGGCTAAATTTCACTTAATGAGAGAGCTAGCTTCCATTTCACAGTCTGTATTGCTGCTAAAATAAGTACTGTCGTCTTATTCAGTAGCACTGTTGGTTGAAGTAACACTTATTTTTTTAAAAACATTGTTATTAATTTCAGAGAGGAAGAGAGAGATAGAAACATCAGTGATGAGAGAGAATCACTGATCGGCTGCCTCCTGCACGCCCCACACTGGGGATGGAGCCCACAACCGGGCATGTGCCCTTGACGGAAATCGAACCCGGGACCCTTCAGTCCGCAGGCCAACCCTCTATCCACGGAGGTAAACCAGCCAGGGCATAACGCTTACTTTTAATATACCATTAGGTTTTGGGAAAATGTTTATTCCTCACCTAGAATATCTGCAATATGAGGACTTGAACATGTAATATCAGCTAATGTCAGATCTCTGATTAGACAATAAACAGGGAAGGGTTTGGTTTATTCACATTTGTAACCCCAAGAAATTTGCACTCCGAAAATTTTTTTGAGTAGAAAACTGTAGAACTAGAACAGTTTTCTGACCTCTAACATAATGCAAAACACAAATACGGAGGCCAACACCTGTACATAAATCTAAATGTAGCAGAGTACGTATTTGCACTATTATACACTTAGTTTTTTATGACTAATACTAAAACAGTTCACGTTACTCTATTCTAAAAAGAAACTTATTTTGCAATAACATGCAAAGCATTATATACCATTCCAATCTAAAACAACAAAACACCCCCACAAAAACTCATTCTGCAGAAGCATAACACGCTTACTCTCTTTCCAAACTCAGAAAGTTTGTAACCTAATTTTCGAATGTCTCTATAGTAAACGGTTTAAAAAATTTCCACAGATCTCACAAGTCCCCAAACTCAGCAGACAAAAAGGAAATCGACATCCTGTGGGAGTTTAGATTTTTTTAAACGACATATTTCCGCAATGGGAATAAACTTTTAAAAATTCATTACTTGATTGACCTGAGGAAAAGACCTACAACACTGGGCCCCTTTCCCAAGACGAAGGCCGGGAATAAGGTGCGAACTCCGGGCTTCCTTTGTTAAGGCCACATCTCGATGGGTGCCATCGTCTGGTTTATTACCGTCGCACGACTCAAGCTCCTTTCATCAAACAGAGTCCCCGGCAAAGGCCAGGAGAGGGGTGAAATCCAGCAGGAACAACAAGCGCAGGCGACCCAGGAGCGGTGCTAGGCAACCACACCGCGGGGCACCGCCCACCCCCACCCACGTGTAGGCGGGTAGGTCCCTTCCTACAGACAATGCCCGGATCCTGTCTAGGACGCGGGGGGTGGGTGTCTCAGGTACCTGCACGTCCGGCGGGCTGCCGTGAAGAGGGCACAAAACGGGCGGCCCGAGGGCTCCCCCTTCGAGACGGAAACTAGCAGGCGAGAGCCTGACGGCTCCGGCCTTTCAGTTCTGCCCGCTTCCAGGCCTGCGGCGGGGATCGCAGTGCCAGCGAGGAAGGGCAGCTTTTCACTTACCCAACGTGGTTGCCTGGGGTTCCACGGCAAAGGCTGCCATCGCGGCGGCGGCGGCTACACTTCGCTCCGGACCCTCCCGGTTTTCAAAAAATGGCGGAAAGTCTCCCGCGGGTAGGGGCGCGCTGCCTGACGGAGTGACGTCACTTCCGGATGTGCGCCGCTCAGACGCTCCGGGCGCCAGAGCCGTCCTTTTGGAATGGGGCAAAGGTCTCTGCGCAGACTCAGCATCTCCCAGCATCTCCTGGGAAGGTGGGAACCTGCGTGGGAACTACGGTTCTCGGGATGCTTCTGCTCACGCCCTGCGTCTCCTGATGTTTGGTGTTTGAGTTTCAGAGACGCGCGAGTCCTGTTATTCGTGGTTTCTTACCTAACGTGAGCTTCCCCAAGACTCTGTCATCGGTCAGCACCTGGAAAAGTTGGCTTGGAGAAGCAGTTGGTGCCCTTCCCAATGTCGTTTTCTGGGCTTAGTCCGTGAAGCTCATTCTCCGCGCATATTTGCTACCGTCGCTATGCCATTTTTTAAAATGTTGTGTTATATAGACGCAATTTTACAATAGAGCATAATTGGTGCTTGCTGTTTTCTTACATACAAAATAGGGTAATTAATGCAAAAGAGAGGAAATAATGGGAGCTAACAGTCAACAAACACCCAGGCGCCCACCGCACCGCGGAATCCTCCCCGTAGGATCCCGACTGTCCTAACCTCCCCGCCCCAACTTTCTGCTTTTCTTTAGAGCGTATACGAATATCACACACACACACATATTCTATGTATGTGCGTGCAAAAATAAATTGCTTAGTTTTACTCACTTGCTAACTTTATAAAAGCGATGTGCTACGTGTATATATTGTGGGATGTTCTCTGGTTCATACCAAACTGATTATCCTCAAAATAACCCACCCATCCTCCCTCACTGTTTCCTCTGGGATTTCCTGAAATCCAAGTCCAGCAAGAATTTTGTAATTTCAGTGAGGCAGTAACAGTTCCAGCGATAAACGGAAAGTTCCCAAAGATTAAAATTTAAAACCACTTAGAGGAATTGACTCTTTTTTTTTTTTTTTTTACAGGTGTATGGGTTGAACTGTGTCCCCAAAAGATATGTTCAAGCCCTAACCTTCAGTACCTGTGAATGTGACCTTATTTGGAAATAGAGTCTTGGCAGATGTAATCAAGTTCAGATGAGGTCATACTGAATTACCTCAAAGTTGGCAGCTCAAACCAACACAAATTTATCTTTTACAATTCTGGGTGCCAGAAATCTGAAATGAGTTTTATGGGACTAATTTCAAGGTGTCAGCAAGACTGGTGTTTTCTGGTGGCTCCAGGAGAGAATGTTTTCTTGCCTTTTCTAATTTCTGGAGGCTAACCATATTTCCTGGCTCTTAGAGGCTCTGTCCTCCCCCTTCAAAGCCAGCTGAGTAGCATCTATGTCTCTGACACTGCTTCTCTCTATTTCTGTCATCACATGGCCTCCTTGTGAGTAAAATCTTCCTCTGCTTCCCTCTTAGAAGGACATTATTAGTAATTACATTTAGAGCCTACTCATACAATCCAGGATAATCTTACATTCCAATGTCTAGTGGTGGTGATTAAGTAAATAATCACATCATAAATGAGCCTTTGCTGTGTAAGCAAACATTCATAAAGGATCCAGAGGTTAGCATGGGAACATCTTTTGAGGGCTATCATTCAGCCCACCACACCCAGCAATTCCCTTTTTAGAATTAAGGTCGCAAGAAAGGTTCACCAATGAAGGAATTTCTATATAAATGTTTATCTAGCCAAGCAAAAGAACCTTTTAAAAAGGTTTAGTTGCTTGGAGTGTTGTCTCATGCACCAAGAAGGTTGTGGGTTCGATCCCTGGGCAGGGCACCTCCTCAGCCATGTGAGGACACAGCAACACGACTACCATATGTGAACCAGGAAGCCGGCTCTCGCCAGACACCAAATCTGCTGGTGCCTTGATGTTGGACTTCCCAGCCTCCAGACTCTGAGAAATAAATTTCTGTTGTTTATAAGTCACCCAGTCTGTGGTATTCCATTATAACAGCCCAAACAGACTGAGGCAGGAGGGTAGGAATGTCCAAAATATACAAATCCACTAATTGTAATTTGCATTATCTGATCTCTATAAATAATGACCAAAGCTATGTCTTTATAAATTAAAATAAATATTATATTTGGAAACATGTTTTTTCCTAATCATTTTATTACAGTAAACAACTGGCAGAAAGGGGGCAGCCAAATACCAAAAGAAGCATCAGTTTAGCTGCTGATTCGCCTGTTATCTTTTACTCAATTAAATGGTTCTTATTACTGAAAGTGAAAAAGTAACATCAAAACTTATATAACCTGGGGAGGAATGCATCAATTTTTTTTTCTTTCATCCTCCCTCCCTTCTAATAAGCAATTTTTTGAATGCCTACTATAGGATACACCTGGTATAGATAAACATCACAGTAAATGATGTTTATCTATACCAAAATCCTCATGGGAGCCCAAGTTTTGATGAGGAAAACAATAAAATAAGTATATAGAATTTTGGTGATAATTAGGGCTATGCCATATATAAAACAAGAAAACTGGATAAAAATGTTAGAGATGGGAGCAATTTTAAACAAGGTGATTAGAGAAGGCTTTACTAAGAAGGTAACACTTGATGTTTCTGGGGGAAAGTGTCCCAGGTAGAGGGAACAGCAGATAATGAAGTGGAACCTTGATTATGCATTTTCAAGGAATGCACAGCCAAGAGGCCAGTTTGGTTCAAACAGGGAGAGCGAGGGAGAAAGCAGTGGGCAATGAGTAGGTCAGAGAAGTAATGATGTGTGAAGTGGGAGGTGGGTGCTGGATGATGTCTGACTTATCTCAATGATGTCATGGTTAGAATTTTCAAGTAGTTTAACTTGAGAATAATTCAGCATCTTCTCCTGACTTAAAATACTAGGATGTTCTATTGTATTTTCAATGCCTATTTATCCACTGTAATGCCAATGATAATATCTTACTTTAGCTTTTCATTTCTTAAAGTGGCTGGAGCAAATAAATCTTTATAGAACTTAAACATTTATATTGCAAAGTGTATAATTTTGTGTCCTGTCAACAGATACTTGAACCCAGAATATGACAACAGTTGTTAAATCTTTTAAAACAAATAACCTCAAAGAAATAAAAGTATTAAGGGAAAATAATACAATTTATTATTTTATTAAAGTATTTCAATACCTGGGAACAATAAAGAGTACATTATAAATACAGCTACAAAATAAGTCAAGCTTCACTTGAAATAGAAAAGTTTACGTTATTTTAAAAGTATATCAATGGAAACAACCACAAATTTGTTAACTGCAAATGCCATTGTATGTATTGCAAGAATATAAAACTTCAAAATCTTCTGGTTTAAATTCTTAAATAACTATTGGGTGATTAAAGATGTTCAGGATCCTTTGTGCAGAAAAATCAACTTTGAAAAATATGTTGCTTTCAGAGAGAGGAAGGGAGAGGGAGAGAGAGAGAAACATCAATGAGAGAGAATCATTGATTGGCTGCCTCCTGCACTGGGGACCAAGCCCGCAACCCAGGCATGAGCCCTGACCGGAATCCAACCATGACCTGGTTCATGGGTCCATGCTCAACCACTAAGCCACACAGGCCAAGCTGCAATAACAATTTTCAAATACTATACTCCATATCCTCTGAAATCTTTTAGTTAATATAATGGTCTAAATTTTGTCCAAAGGAACTTAAGAAAAAGATTTCTTCAGTTTTCCAAAATTTTAAATATTTAGTGGTTTTCAGTTCAAACTATGTGACATCACAAACTTATATTAAAGCACAAAGTCAGCAAAACATTCAAAAAATATTAACTTAAAATAAACAGAATTTTATCATATATCCCAGTACCATTTTTCTGCTCATCTTTCTCAAGTTGCTAGGAAGGCTCTATTATTTCTTTCCAATGTTTAAAAACAAATGATACTTTCATTTCCTCTTTCCTTTAAAAAATGGTAGAAAATTCTATTTTAAAATAGAGGTTAAAACTCCTTAAAATATTATTCCCTTTCCTTCAAAACAGATCTATATTTGTTATACATTTTTAAATGTATAATACATGAGATAAAGAATTATAATGGTAACATTCTTTTTTATAAATGATCAGGTGTGACAGAGTGACTTATATCCATAGGAAACACAATAAACATACTATATACATATTTCCCATCACTGCCTTCCATAGTACCCCTAATTTAAAAGAGTGAGTTACATTTGTTGATCTATTTTAGATATAGCAAACTACCATCATTTAAGATAAAATAAAACAGATGCTCAAAACACTTCTATAGATGATACAGAAGATATGAGCTTGCACCATAACCAGATCACTACAGGCAACAGCTAAGCACACAAAATACAGACATAAGTAATACACTACGCATTATGAACCAGTTCTGTTCAGGCTTCAGGTTACAACATTTAATGGCTGAAAACTAAATAGCACCTAGCAAAAGAAAATGTGTTTAAATAAATGTTTTCATGTGAATGGAAAAGGTTCACCCTGCAAACCCTCAACAATACTGACTACAGAGACATCAGTCTCATACTTAAGAGGATTCTGTCTGCCTTGGTTGGCTTCAGACAACTCACTGTAGGTTGATTACATTTATACTGCTTCTCAACAGAAACAGAGTTCATAGTTTTGCACGTGATAGCATCTTATCAAGCTATAAGCAATCTCGAAACATAATTTGCATTTATCACGTCTGTTTGCTCCTGGCAGCACAGGAAGGCCTACTTTCTCAAATGCACAGCTGTGCTCAATGAGCACTTTCCAACTCACATATGGCAGTATACTAGCTCTCTAGAATATGTATTTAAGAAGAGCCGACTTTCTTAATAAAATCTTAATGGCTATGATATTTTCTAAGTCATGAAAGGTTGCTTGAAAGCTATTGAATAAATCATTTTATAATTATATTAATTTTAAGTACATTTTATTTTGAATAAGTCAAAGAATATCTTTAAGCAAATTTATAATGTGGAGGTGAGCCTTTTCAATATGGAGACTTTATTTATTTATTTTTTTAATATTTTATTGATTTTTTACAGAGAGGAAGGGAGAGAAATAGAGAGTCAGAAACATCGATGAGAGAGAAACATCGACCAGCCGCCTCCTGCACATCCCCCACCGGGGATGTGCCCGCAACCCAGGTACATGCCCTTGACTGGAATCGAACCTGGGACCTTTCAGTCCGCAGGCCGACGCTCTATCCACTGAGCCAAACCGGTTTCGGCGAGACTTTATTTTTTAAAAACAAACCATTCAAAGCCTCTGGCCAGAGGTAACATTATAAATAATTTTAGGCTTTCTAACAATATATTTAAAATTTCTTATAAAGCCATAATCCTTGTTTCCTTAAAATACGTTATCTAGTAGGATATTGAACTAAAAAACAGATCATTGAACAAATGACAACTAAAAAACAAATTTTCAGTACAAAATGTTTTTCCACAGATCTAAGAAGATAAAAAAATTATGCCTGGGACCCAAAAAACAGAATGCTAGGGACCCAAGATGAAAAACACACAATGCAAGAGACTAGATCACCTAATTAAAGAACCATAAGCTCACAATAATGTAAGAGAAAAAATCTACACAAAAACATAAATAAATGCAGGGTATATAATTAAATTTTAAAAATCAAAATAAAAAGTGGGTACAAAAGGACATAAAAATTTTGTGAATACTGTAACCACTATGTAAATATTGTGTAAACCTTCACATTTTGGTTACCACTTTTGGAAGGTTTACAGTATTGGTTGTTGTTTTTTTTAATATATATATTTTTATTGATTTCAGAGAAGAAGGAAGAGATAGAAACATCAATGGTGAGAGAGAATCACTGATTGGCTGCCTCCTGCCCGCCCCCTACTGGGAATTGAGCCGGCAACCCGGGCATGTGCCCTTAACTGGAATTGAACCTGGAACCCTTCAGTCTGCAGGCCGATGCTCTATCTACTGAGCCAAACCAGCTAGGGCACGATATTGGTTTTTAATCTTAAATTATTTATGAAGAAATTTATCTCCTTCTGAAATGGTAAGTCAAGTAGCATTTCAAGTTTTTTCCTTCCTGGATACAGTTGCTGGAATAGAAAAGTCTTAATCACTGATTTAACCTTTCCATGCTCTAACACAGATTTTTAAATTTAAGCATTTTTTCTTCTACAGAAATCAATTATTGGTAATACATTGTTATTCTCCCTTAGCAAATCAAATAAGCATTTAATCACACTTAATATCAAAGAAAACATGATATAATTTAAAAAATTATTTATATGCTATCTCAGGACAATCAATTGACCTTCATTTTCACAAAAAAAAAAAAAAAAAGAGAAAAGGAAGTTTTTATTAGTCTACAAAAAGGGGAAAGGTGGTTATAGAAGCCAATTCAGAAACTAGTTGTCCATCATCTGCTAGAATGTAACTCATGAACTGTTGTCTCCTTCTAATTCCTGTATTTTGTCAGACTTATTGCTTTCTTTGCCCTCTTGGTATGTACGGAGCTGTTCCATGAAGCCAGCATTTGGACATATGGAAGGCCTTGCATTTTTCACCAAAGAAAGAGCAGTGGCAAATGAGATTTCTTCAGAATTCATCAGGAAGCCTATCACAATTGCAGCTGCCCTGGAAACCCCTGCATTGCAATGGACTAGAACCACTCCATCCTGCAATAAAAATCAAACAAAACTCTTCATTATTAATTTAAGAAAGGTTATTAAATCAGTAGTACATTCTTATACTATTAAAAATTATAAAAAACCAGAGGCCCGGTACACCTATTTGTACACATTGAAAGGAAATCAATTAGAAGGTGGCTGGCGGGGCAGTGCTGGGGTCAATTATCAAAATACAATTCATTGTAAGGAAAGAATGGAAAAACTAATCAATCGATCAACCAACACCTCCTCTTTCCAACTGCTAGGATTGAAGTGCTTTGATGAGGTCTTTGGAATTCTGAAACAGTATCCTTTGTTAAACTGAAATAATCCAGTAAAGTACACATACAAGCTTAATGAAGAAAACATAATCATAAACTAAACAGAAAGCCTGAGATATTCCATGTACACAGAGTGTTCCCATAAAGATGGTGGCATTAGTTTGGAAATCTCTGTGTAAAATGATCAGCAAGGAAAACAATTTTCTACCTTTAGATATATTCTGGAGGGAAGTTGGACAGCAGTCTGGTGATTGCGGGGGGGGGGGGGGTTGAGGTGTAGGAGGATATAGGGGGGATAAATGGTAATGGAAAATATTAAAAATTAAAAAAATAAGCTAAACTTATGATGTAGTAAAATGACACAAATAGCTCATGACAATGTGAAGTAGAAAAGGTAACTAGACACCAGCATGAGGTCAATAAATGAATAACGTTTCAAGTAGCTTGAAAATGATACTTTGTAAGTGAAAAGAGACACAGTGTAAGACCAATGCTGATGGGGGTAATATTGCATTAATAATGAATGTGATAGATCTGATGGAACACCACTGATACAGGTTGGCTTGTTTCAGGCTTTTAAAAGGTTAATGTTCTGAATGAAATGTAGTGAACTGTGGGACACACTACAGAACTAGACATTTTAGTTACTTAATTTCCTGATTCTTCTTTTGGTAAAAGATTGAAACAGAGGAAGGGGGAAAAAACAAAACTTAGAACTAAAAACTCTCTACCCAAAGCATATATTAGCAATACTATGTTTATAGCTCATTGACTTAGTTTACTTTTGCAAAGCAGTTTTCTCAGATTCATAAATCCGTTGCAAAATTCCTTGCCTAGATCTGTCGTAACAAATTTGCAAGTGCATCTCATTTCAAGAAATCCAAGTGACCCACAACAAAATTAGTTAATATTTTGAAAATCCTCATATCAAAAACACAATTTCAATTGTTTTCTTATCCTATATAATAAAAGGCTAATATGCAAATCGACTGAACGGTGGAACAACTGGTCGCTATGATGCACACTGATCCCAGGGGACAGACGCTCAATGCAGGAGCTGCCCCCTGGTGGTCAGTGTGCTCCCACAGGGGGAGCACTGCTCGGCCAGAAGCTGAGCTCACAGGCTGGTGAGTGCAGTGGCAGTGGCAGGAGCCTCTCCCACCTCTGCGGCAGCACTAAGGATGTTCAACTGACCACTTAGGCCTGCTCCCCAAGGGCTCCTGGACTGCGAGAGGGCACAGGCCAGGCTGCGGGACCCCCCTCTCCCAACCCCCCAGTGCACGAATTTCATGCACCAGGCCTCTAGTGTGTATATATATTTAAGTCATTTCCAGATATTAACTTTTTGTACAAGAAAAGCAAAACACAAATATTCACTATACACATATGAAACTTTTGTCACTTTGTACAATAGTTCATTTTGATGAGACTAAAGATATTTTAAAATCATAGTGTAATAATATCTGATAAAAACTTTCAAATGAACTTTTTAAAAAATATGTTTTTATTGATTTGAGAGAGAGACAGAAAGGGAGAGGAGGGAGAAAGGGATGGAAAAGGCAGAAAGGAGATCATTAGACAAAATTCAATTAAACTGGAGTCTAATGTTAACTGTCATTAATAATCAGGTGTTCCTGGAGAGTTAGCTTTTCTCTGTAAGTGTTTCTACATTCCCATCTACTCATCTCACATAAAGTTTGTAAGAATTACATGCTGATTAAAAATGATGTGATTTCAGTCGAATTATGGGTAACAACCAAAGCAGAAGCCCAGCCTGTCAGCGTGTTGACTTGGATCCAGTACCAAGATCTAAGTATTATACCATTAGTTGGTCTTCTATAGCCAGACACCCAATGAACAGCTTCTTATCAGCATTTTCATACAATCTCAGAAAAGCAATACCCATTCAGTCCTTAGAGCACCCTAAAATTCTATTGTTAAAATGCACAGATTCACAATCCCTACTGTGGCCACAAAAATAAATGCATATTAATTTTCATAAATACATTAACAGGACTAGAGCTACCTCTATCCTACAGTCCACTTGAGTAGCTTACAAATTGATCAGTGGCAGGTGGGTTATACACTGTCTGAGGAAATCTAAGTACATATATACACGGGTATAGGAAGAGGAGAAATTAATTTTAAAAATGAATATAACATTGAGAAAAGAGCAATTAGAGAACTAAATAGTTTTAAGAATTCATGAAATATTGTTGAAGAGGAGATTTCATAATGGTTCTTTACATACTCACTACAAATAGAATAAAAACTAAGTAATGGACCCATATTTTAAAATTTCTGCTTCTGAAGAACTTTGGATCTAAACCAAACTTACCTTCATTTTTGCTTGTTCAATAAATTCAAAACATTCTGGAAAATAAGACAGGATATTGGTTTCGGGCAGATCCAGTATAGAAATGCTCTTATATATAAAGTCACTGAGGAAAGCATTTTCAACTCCATATGCAACATTGAGAATATGAGTCACCTTAAAGAGGGGAAAAAAAAAAGGATGATTTTTTAAAATTCTCATGAAGTAGGTTAATTAAAAAGAGGCTGGGATGTTGAGATTGTAACAAGAATACACAATTTAAGCATGAAGTGTACTTAATATTTCCTCAAGAAAGCCTGATCTGATGTTTCATCCCTCACCGAGGTGCTATTTCTATATATTTTCATAACACTCTCTACTTTTCCCATTATAACCCTTACCTCTTAGAGACTGTTCGTCTCCTTCACTGTATTGGAAACTCCACCAGGGTAGGGAGAATGTTTAGCTTACTCACTATTATTATTATTTCTTTAAATTTAAATTCTTTTTTAAAAAATATATTTTATTGATTTTTTACAGAGAGGAAGGGAGAGGGAGAGAGAGTTAGAAACATCGATGAGAGAGAAACATAGATCGGCTGGGGATGTGCCCGCAGCCAAGGTACATGCCCTTGACCGGAATTGAATCTGGGACCCTTCAGTCCGCAGGTCGACGCTCTATCCACTGAGCCAAACCGGTTAGGGCAAAATTTAAATTCTTTATTATTTAAAGTATTACATGAGTCTCCTATTTCCCCCATTGACCTCTCCCCGGCCACCCCCACCCCCAAATATATTTATATTGATTTCAGAGAGGAAGGGAGAGAGATAAAAACATCAATGATGTGAGAGAATCACTGATCGGCTGCCTCCTGCAAGCCCCCCGGCTAGGGATTGAGCCCACAACCCAGGCATGTGCCCTTGACCGGAACCAAATGCAGCATCCTTCCGTCCACAGGCCGACGCTCTACCCAGTGAGCCAAACTGGCAAGGGCGCTTACTCACTATTATAAGTAAGCACTGTGAATGAGCAGTGACCTTGGCACAGAAAGTACTTAAAATATTTGTTTAATCAGACAATGGATGTCCACATAAAAAACTTAAGAGACTTGTGTCAGCAGCACAAACTTCCCTTTTGATAATTATTTCCTCTTTGTAAGTACATGGTTCTCCAGTGTGGATGCACATTAGAATCACCTGGTGAGCTTTTAAAAAATATCAAACCCAAAGGCTCTGATGAATTAGTGTGGGTGAAACATGGGATGGCTATGACAGATTTTCTTTCAAATGGTTCACATAAGCAACCTCCTACTCCATATATGCATTCAAGCCCCTTTCCTAGAGCCCACCAAGCATATGGAAGGAGCCATGGAAAGTCCTTTAAGAGAATCCAAAGGCTACACAGACAAGACAAATTAGTCACTGTTTCTTGTCCTAACATGCTTGGCATTGTATTTGTTATTTCTTAGCATATGTCTTAGTTTCTAAAATAAATAAATAAATACATAAAAAATAAAAAAATAAGAAAATCTTTTTATTGATTTCAGAGAGGAAGGGAGAGGAAGAGAGAGGTAGAAATATCAATGATGAGAATCATTGATCAGCTGCCTCCTCCATACCCCCTACTGGGGATCAAGCCCAAAACCCAGGCATGTGCCCTGACTGGGAATCGAACCATGACTTCCTGGTTCATTGGTCGACACTCAACCACTGAGCCATACCAGTCAGGCTGCATCTTAGTTTCAGAGAGGAAAGAGGAGGGAGAGGTAGAATCATTGATCAGCTGCCTCCTGCAAGCCCCCTACTGGGAAATCGAACCTGAAACCCAGGCACGTGCTCTGACCAAGAATCCAACCATGACTTCTTGGTTCATGAGTTGATGCTCAACCACTGAGCAACACCGGCCAGGCAAGAGCAACTGGAGGGTGGAACAAAGTGATTTGGGAGAGGCAGGGAGTATCGAAAAGAATGCTACCCTGCCTCTCACCCATGAAGTAAATGAGTGCTAGGCCCCTTTCTAGGTTCAGGAGATACAGACATGAGCAAGGAGTAAGACCCTTGCTCTTAAAAGAAGATTTTGAGATGAGAATACATTCTTTGAAAGAATTCAAATGAGGCAATGCGGCGAGTTGGGAGGCGGCAACATGAGTCAGGGTAGGCCTTTCTGAAGGTATTACTTTTCAACTGAGACCTTATGACAGAGTAGGCCATACTTAGTTCAGGGCAAAGGGACTGCAAGTTCAGTAGTCTATTCCTTCTGGTCCCATAACACTTTGTCTCCTATAGCTCTTCACACCTCTGCTTTGTATTACTATCCTCAGTAAACATATATATATATATATATATATTTTTTTTACCTTGTGCTTTTTCAGTGTATCCAGGTCATGAGCAGCATCTTGTGACCCTATAAGAAATAAGTCATATCACCTTGAACATGAACATAATCATCCTGACTTTTTATCCAATTTTTGCAACAATTCTGTTATTTATTTATTTATTTACTAGAGGCCCGGTGCAGAAAAATTTGAGCACTGGCGGGGGGGTGGGGGGGGTGTCCCTCAGCCCGGCCTGTGCCCTCTCGCAGTCTAGGACCCCTCGGGAGATAAAGACCTGCTGGCTTGGGCCCGCTCCTGGGTGGCAGAGGGCAGGCCCAAACCCTAGGTGTCTGCCCCGCAGCTCCTGGTCGGGCTCAGAGCAGGGCCGATTGGGGAGTTGGGGCGCTGCCCCCTGTCATGCACAGAGCAGGGCGGATCAGGAAGTTGCGATGCCACCCTCAGTCACGCTCAGGGTAGGGCCGATTGGGGGGTTGGGGCGCCACCCCGTCACGCACAGAGCAGGGTGGATCAGGGGGTTGTGGTGCCACCCGTCACATACAGAGCCGGCCGATCAGGGGGTTGGGGCGCTGCCCCCTGTCACACACAGAGCAGGGCTGATCAGGAGGTTGTGATGCCACCCTCAGTCACGCTCAGGGTAGGGCTGATCAGGGGGTTGGGGAGCTCCCCCCTGTCATGCACAGAGCAGGGCCGATCAGGGGGTTGGGGAGCTCCCCCCTGTCATGCACAGAGCAGGGCCGATCAGGAGGTGGTGATGCCACCCTCAGTCACGTTCAGGGTAGGGCCGATTGGGGGGTTGGGGCGCTGCCCCCTGTCACACTCAAGGCAGGGTCGATGGGGAGGTTGGGGCGCCACCCCCTGTCACCCACAGAGCAGGGCCGATCAGGGAGTTGGGGCACTCCCCCCTGTCACACTCAGGGCAGGGCCAATGGGGAGGTTGCAGCTCCACCCCGTCACACACAGAGCAGGGCCCATGGGGGGGTTGGGGCGCCGCACGCTGTCACACACAGAGCAGGGCCAATCAGGGGGTTGGGGTGCCTTCCCCAGTCACGAACAGAGCAGAGCAGATAGGGAGGTTGTGGCCCTGCCCCCTGTCACACACAGAGTGGCAGGGCGATAAGGGGGTTTGGGCGCTGCCCCCGTCACGCTGCTCCAGGGGCCAGGAGGCCTCGTGGCTCTGCTGATCCCAGTGCTGGGAGGCATATTACCCTTTTAGTATATAGGATAGAGGCCTGGTGCACAGGTGGGGGCCAGCTGGTTTGCCCTGAAGGGTGTCCCGGATCAGGGTGGGGGTCCCCACTGGGGTGCCTGGCCAGCCTGGGTGAGGGGATGATGGCTGTTTGCAGGTGGTCACACCCCCTTCAGGGTGAGGGTCCCCACTGGGGTGCCTGGCCAGTCTGGGTGAAGGGCTGAGGGCCGTTTTCAGGCTGGCAGGTGACTGAAGCTCCCAACCTCTCCTTTTTCCTTTTTTTTTATTCTGGGATTTATTTACGTTCTATGGCTGTCACTGGATCTGAGAGCCGGATTTAGCTCTGAGACCTCGGCTGCTGAAAGCAGGTTTCTGGGCTTTGTTTACCTTCTGTATTTGAAACTTTGTTGCGACTCCAGCTCTGAGATCCCTGCCGGCTGAAAGCAGGTTTCTGGGGTTTTGTTTAGCTTCTATATTTGTAACAATGTTTCTTAGAGAGCAGCTGAGAGGCCGGCAGCGGCAGGCAGGGAACGGGGAACATTGGCTTCCTCCGTCACTGGAGCAAGCAAGCCTCCTGTTCATGTCAGTAGCCTGGCTGCCGGCCACTATCTTGGTTGGCAGTTAATTTGCATATCGCCCTGATTAGCCAATGGGAAGGGTAGCAAAGTTACGGCTAATTACCATGTTTCTCTTTTATTATATAGGATTTATTTATTTTAAAAACAACAACTTGGGAGGACCTCATTCCAACTTTCTGAAAGACAATTTGGTGATAGCTATAAAAATATTCATCTGTGTATACGCTTGGACTGTGATTTCCCACTTCTAGGAATTTGTCCTAAAAGTTCTGGATGTTACAAAGATCAGCTATCAGGATGTTCATCATAGTATTGTTTGTGATACCACAAAAATAAAACAAACAACCCAATAATAGGCTGTTTTTAATCTAGGTTTTTTTTTTAAAAAAAATCCAGTAATACGGATTGGGTTAAATAAAAGATGGTTCAATTGTGTAGTGAAATATAAACAGATATTAGATAGGGCATGGAAATATATTCCCAGTATATGAGGTAATAAAAGCAAGTTATAATATACCATCATCCATTTTTGTAATAACAAAAAATATGTATGCTTAAAATGGGACAGGAAGTATATAGAACAAAATGTTAAAAGTGGGGTTACAGGTGATTTTTTTCTTCTTTCTGCTCATTTGTATTTTTTACAAAAAAATATTTGTTTAGAAATTTAAAAAAAGAATATCTTTAAAAAGACTTAGTACCAGCTGGTTTGGGAACACCCAGTAGATTAAAGCAAGCACTGCTGGTCTATGGAATTCCACCCACATTCTGTGCACCACTAGCACTGTACCCTTTTACAGTTTCTTCCTGTCAAAGTTGCTTTCCAGATTTCCCACACTTGGAAAAGGACTCTAGTTAATAAGCAAATTCTTACAAGTGAATAACTCATTAAAATTAAGTGAAAAAATATATACAATGAAAAAATAGGATATTTATTATTCAAATATATACTTTCCTGAATTAGGTTTTATTTCCATAAATAATGTTTTTCTTACCTTACCTAATGGGGAAATCTGCCAGCTTCTATGACATGGTTTTAGGTAGCTGAAAGGCCAGTAAGTGGGCTGGTTGGTCAATATTCTCTTGGTAATACAAAGTTCACAGGCTCCTCACTGAGCTTTATTTTGCTTAAAAGTTAGCCTATCAAAATATTAACATTTGTTAAAGCTGAATGGTGGATACACAACTGCCTGTTATAGTATTGTCTGAAATTTTCTATGCATTTGAAATAGTCCATAATTTAAAAAATTCTCAGCTCTCTATCAGAAGTCCTTACCATCTCTAGAGGGGGGAAATGGGATGAAAAAATTTAATTGAAATATGATGGTTTAACATGTATTCATTTTTTAAATAATAATTCTACTTTGACAAGTCCTTACAAAAAAGAAAGAGAGAAAGAAACATGCACTAGAAATTCTTTCCTATTTTCACCCTAAACTGTCATTATTATATTTATCAAAGCTGGATACTTTGATCATTTCCATTACACACACACACACACACACACACACACACACACACACCAAAAGGAACAGCTATTATATTTCAGAGTTGTCTGCCATATTTTGAAAGTGACTTCCAGAATATAAGTATGTTGATACAAATTTAGTATCCTTTTTTAAAATATATTTTTTTTATTGATTTCAGAGAGAAAGTGAATGTGGGTGAGAGAAAAACACCAATGATGAGAGAGAATCATTGATTGGCTGCCTCCTGCATGCCCCACACTGGGGATCGAGCCTAAAACCTGGGCATATGCCCTGATCGGGAACTGACTAACTGAGCCACACCAGCTAGGACAAAATTTTCGACTTTTACAAATGAAGTTCAATTGAAGAAAAGTCCTTTAAAAAGTTGTAAAAATATAATCTGCAAAGCCTAGGACAAAAATTCTCACTAACATCTTTTAGCAACCTGTCAGATAGTTCAAGGGCCTATGTGAGATTTTTGAAAGGTAGAAGCTTGTTTGAATTTCGGAACTAACTGTAAAAGACAGTTTATATTTTTAAAAGACAGAATATATTTTAAACTTATATTTTAGAAAGACAGATTATATTTTATACAAATATATGCATTATAGTTAGCTCTCCATTGTCTTTATTCTCCACCAAAAACAAAAGTTAATTGGCAGGTAGTGCTGGATTGGAGTTGTCTAGTTTTGAAGAGGTGAAAGAAGCTGTTGGAGGCAACTTAGAAACAACCCCCATCTCCAAAAAGAAACCTAGTCTGGTCAGAAACAACCCCTGCATCATTCATGCGGAAGAACTTTAGATTTAACCATCCAAGGTCCCTCAGGAATGAGGCACTTGTAACTAAGCAGGAAAAGGTCCTGTTTCCTCTCAGAAGACAGGAGGTTGTGCCTGATGAAAAAATCCCATTTCCTGGTTCAGAGAGGGGACCACATAAGGTACCAGTTTCACAAGCCCCTCCAGAACTCTCCCAGGATCCTGGGAAGGATCCCAATGCCAATATGAGAAGACTACCTTGATTGTACCCTTGGATACGTCTAGATAAAAAGTATCAATAAGCAAAATTTAAAATTCTCCAATAATGTTAAACCATTATTACTATAATGGAAGCCAAATAACTGAAAAATGTGCCTGGATATATATCCTTTCGTAGGTGTGCAAGTCCTGGGTGAAGTTTCCAGACTAGCTATATAAACCCACTTAATTTTTCACTGCTGCACAAACTAGTTGGAGATATTTATTTGGTGAATTTAAAGATAGCTCATGTAACAATTCATACAATACACAACACAATCACAACTCATATGTATACTGCAATTGGTTTGTTTCAAAAATCGTCCACACACAAACAGATACACGTACAACACAAAAGCCCTTTTACAACAACCTCAGAACAACCCTATGAGATAAGCAGATACTGTTACTTCAGCTTTACAGATGGCGTTTAGGAGGACCAGAGAGGATAAATGACTGGCACTAGTTCATCTAGTTAAGTTAGAGGCACAGCAGGGCTGAAAAGCTGGACTCCCTGAGGCAGTCTTCTATGTTCACAGAGAGCAGGAGTCAGTCAGACTTGAGCTTGATGTCCAGCTATTAAATACTAGTGTTTTAACCTTGTGCAGGCTACTTAACTGATCTTAAATCCAGATCCCATCTGTAAAATGGAGCTGATGATCACTACTTCAGAGTTTTTAAAAGGAGTGAGATGCTGTGTGTATCTGGCTATTTCTAACTCCCAGTCCAGTGCTTTCACTCCACAATGGCTTGGCTGCATAAAAATTGACAAATTATTAATCTTTCTAATTCTTAATTTCTCTATTCATAAATGAAAAAGAATTCAAACTAACTTGAAAAAATTGTTGACTATTTTTTAAGACGATTGTACCATATTCTTGCCAAGCTAACAAGTTTATACATTTATAACTGTGCTTCATTTGTTATTTGTGGACTAATCTTTGTATAGAAAAATCAGTATTTTCCATAATGCAAAAAGTCATAAAACCATCAGACTCATAGCTATAAAATAAAGTCCACCTTTTCCTTCACATTCTATAAACAGCCACCATGGACAGATGTTGTCACAGGAAGCATGCCTTCCTCATGGTTTGTAACAGCAGAGCAGGCAAGCAAGCACTTGACTATTTCAAGTACTATTCTATAACTTTAGGTTCAAACTTGAAGTTTTTCCTAATAAAAGCATTTTTTTCATTTGATTTTTAAAAACTATATCCTTTTATAATAATACCCCCCTCTACATTAATGTGTTATTCTCCAGAGTTAGAAAAACAGGAAGAAAGTTTTTCCTAAAATTCAAATACCAGGTGCTATGTGCTACTAGAATCTATACTTTCTATGGGGGCAGAAACTTCTCTAGGTAGCTGAGGGAAGTCCCGTGTCCAAAAAAGGAAACCTTTTAACTTTTTCGGCAGGACAGCTGATAATACAAACTATCAATCTATTAAGGTAAATAATGATAACATAATATGACCAAAGGACTCAATGACAAATCGATATACTCACCCAGGAGCAACCATGGCTTAATAACGCCAACTTGCAGGTCCAAGCTAAGATCCTGCACATAACCACAACCACCCCCACTGCTCGGCTCTACTTCTTCCACAACATGAATTCTGGCATCTTTCCACGTTTCTATAATTTTCTTTCCAGTTAGCGTTGTCACCCTGGTGCATTGCTTCCTGAGATTATTCCGGGAGAATGCTTTAATTTCCTGGTTAAGGGAGTGCATTACATGAGCGGTGACTAGGAACAAATACAAGCAAACCCAGCCAGCACAGAGAAGGGCTGAACTGCTTGTCCCTTGGAGCTCAGGTAACGAATGCAGCCCCGGGAGTGCACAGCCCTCCAGGTGACCAGGCAGCATCACCCGGGAGACTGACACTTCCGGCTCCTTTTCCCCGGCGCCTCGATGTAAGACAAACTGTGATTGGCCTTTGAGAAGCGGGCGCCGATTGGATGCCCGTGTCAACGGAAAGCCTGCGTTTTTCCTTGTCGGTTCAAGGAATCCGCTAGTGTTCTCTTGTTGCTGCTGTTTAAAGCTAGCTTAATTAGTCACGCAGAATGGCAAAATGTAAGACTTCATTAGAGAGAGGGCTGGTATTTCGAGCTCTTTAAAAGCAGTGATTTTTCGATCTAGGTGGGCGGGTGTCTCTTGTAGTGAATGATAGGGGTTGACCTGGGTATTGCGCCCGCTTTACAGTGCAAACCTCCCTGCTTTTAGGCTAATGGGGGGGGGGGTGGCTCCAGGAGACATTCAAAGTTATTTCTCACTCTCTGTCCTTCATACTTCCTTTTGTTGCTGTTACTGCCCAGAGGAACGTTTACTACATTAAAAACTATTCGTGAAATAACAATTTAAATCTGCGAAGATATTTTTATTTAAAGTTTTTAAATTGTTTCTGTATGCAGATTGACAAGAGCTTACACATGTATTTTCTGACTTCCCTCCTACATTTTCACCATCAGTAAAATTGCCGAAGAGCCTTTTATGTAGTAAATATATACACACACTGTAAGAAGCATTGCAGCAAGGCCTTCCACAGAGTTGCAGAAATTCAAGCTTGCATACATCCACATTTACAAAAACAATTATAGAATGATGATTCTGATTGCAAAAGGATGATTTTTTTTTTTTTCTGCAAAAGAAATCACAAGATTCCTTTGGAATTTGCCTTTCCCCACATTGGATTTAATGAAAACATTCTCCAACACTACACATGAAAATTTTTGTTGGGTTGAAAATCTCTAATGTAAAAATAAAATAAAACAAATTTCTCCCGATTGAAAAGAATGATATATCAATCAGCCCGGGCTATCTACGGGGCACACGCTAAAATGATGAATTGAACAATTTATTTGCATAATTTAAACAATCACAGGTTCATAAAAAACAACTCTAACCACAAATCACTCCATATGTTTATAATAAATGAAAAAAATGATGACCAACTATTGAGCTAGGCATTGTAATTATAAGTAATTTTTATGTTTTTTTTTAAATTAAATCTTTATTGTTCAGATTATTACATTTGTTCCACTTTTTCCCCCCATAACTCCCCTCCTCCCAGTTCCCGCCCCACCCTCCGCCCTCACTCCCCATCCACTGTACTCATCCATAGGTGCACGATTTTTGTCCAGTCTCTTCCCGCATCTCCCACACCCCTTTCCCCCCCAAGAATAGTCAGTCCATTCCCTTTCTATGTCCCTGATTCTATTATGATCACCAGATTATTTATTCACTTGATTCTTAGATTCACTTGTTGATAGATGCATGTTTGTTGTTCATAATTTGTATCTTTACCTTTTTCTTCTTCTTCCTCTTCTTAAAGGATACCTTTCAGCATTTCATATAATACTGGTTTGGTGGTGATGAACTCCTTTAGCTTTTCCTTATCTGTGAAGCTCTTTATCTGACCTTCAGTTCTGAATGATAGCTTTGCTGGATAAAGTAATCTTGGTTGTAGGTTCTTGGTATTCATCACTTTGAATATTTCTTGCCACTCCCTTCTGGCCTGCAAAGTTTCTGTTGAGAAATCAGCTGACAGTCGTATGGGTATTCCCTTGTAGGTAACTGAGTTTCTTTCTCTTGCTGCTTTTAAGATTCTCTCTTTGTCTTTTGCTCTTGGCATTTTAATTATGATGTGCCTTGGTGTGGTCCTCTTTGGATTCCTTTTGTTTGGGGTTCTCTGTGCTTCCTGGACCTGTAAGTCTATTTCTTTCACCAGGTGGGGGAAGTTTTCTGTCATTATTTCTTCAAATAGGTTTTCAATATCTTGGTCTCTCCCATCTTCTGGCACCCCTATAATTCTGATGTTGGTACGCTTGAAGCTGTCCCAGAGGCTCCTTACACTATCTTCGTATTTTCGGATTCTTTTTTCATTTTGCTTTTCCAGTTGGGTGTTTTTTGCTTCTTCGCATTTCAAATCTTTGCCTTGATTCTTGTGCTCCTCTGGTCTGCTGTTGGGAGTCTGTATAGTATTCGTTATTTCAGTCCGTGTATGCTTAATTTCTAGTTGGTTCTTTATCATAACATCGAGGGTCTCATTAGATTTCTTGAGGATCTCACTACATTTACCGGCGGCTTCTAGACAGTTCTTAAGAGACCTTAAAAGTGTGGTTCTGAACTCAATATCCTCCATTGACAGTTTTGTCCTGTTTCTTTGTCTCCACATTTTTTTATGCTTTCTTGGTGCACCCCCTAGTGTTCTTTGTGTGCAGTCTTGTTGTAGTTAAGCCTTGATTGTTGTCGGCAATACCGGGGGTCAGTAATTTTTAGATTGTCAGTGTTATCCATCTGGTGTTTAATGATGCTGTATATACATTATTCCATTACATCTCACACAAGCCTATTATGTATTTACTATTATAATCATCTACATTTTACAACTGAGAAAATTCAGATGCAGAGAGAGCAAATAACATATCCTACATTACCCTGCTCATAAGTTTATAACCACAAATAATGCCTAGGTTTGTTCCAGTCCAATGCCTTAGCTCTTATTTACTGTGGAATACTGTTCTGCTCCCAAAATAATTGTAGTTAACAAATACTTATTGAGCACATACTAAATGCCAGGCACTGTTATAGTCACTGGGGATATGGCAGTGAATAAAAACAAAATCTTGTCTTTTTTTAAAAAAAATGTATTTTTATTGATTTCAGAGAGGAAGGGAGAGGGAGAGAGAGATAGAAACATCAATGATGAGAGAGAGAATCATTGATCGGCTGCCTCCTGCACACCCCCTACTGGGGATCAAGCCCGAAACCAGGCATATGCCCTGACCAGGAATTGAACCGGTGACCTCTTGGTTCCTGGGTCAACTCTCAACCGCTGAGCCACACCCGGCTGGGCGAATAATCTTGTCTTTTGTGGAGTTTATGTCCAAGTGGAGGTGGTAGTTGGACAGACGGTGAGTGTGTATGTGTGTGTGTGTGTGTGTGTGTGTGCGCACGCATCCACATTAAGTCATGATTTAAGTGCTAAAAAAGAAAAACTGAAATAAGGGAACAGACTGAAGGGGCAGTGTGCTATTTGCTACAGATTAGTGAGAGAAGGCCCCTCTGATGAAACAAATTTTGAGCAGATACCTGAGTAAAATGAAGGAGCCAACCCTGTAGATATCTGTGGGGAAGAACTTTGCAGACGGAAGAAATAGCAAGTGTTGGAGATAGGAGTATACTGGTGAGAGGTAGGAGAAGGGGAAGTTCAAGAAACTTCCAGGTCCCTAATGTGGCTTGTGGGGGTGAGTGAAGGGAAGGGTGGTAGGAGATGAGGTCAGAGAGAAATGATAAAGACTCTGGGTTTATTCTGAGTGAGATGGGAAACAACTGGAAGAAAATGGGTAGCATGGATCCTGTGTTGTACCACCCAGATACTCCCTGTTGTCTGGGAGTGCTTTTGGCTCGCAGAGGGATGCCTTGTATGAGGTTGTGCCCTTCGCAGGAGAGGCCACATGCATGAATGATTGATGAGGGAGCATAAAGGCCTGGCCATCTTAGCCCAACTTGAAGCAGCTCTGAGGGCCATTCTGAACCTCATTCAGCACAGCTAGGAATGAACCTGAGGAGGGGAGGTGAAGGATTAAAGAAAACAGACAAGAGAATACAGTTGGGACCAGGTGGATCACTGTGCCTGGATGAGGAAACAGTGACACAGCCTGTAAGACGAAGCTTTATTTTATACTCAGATCACACAAAGCAAAACAAGGGCAAGATGTTTACAATGTTCTTGCCAGTTTCAAATCTGCTTCTTTCCTGTTGTTGCCATTCTCTGAACTCTATCAAGCCTTGTTTTGGCAGCACTTGCTGCACCACCACCCCCATCCCCCGACTGCCCCTGGCAGCCCACATCCCTTAGCTACCTAGGCCTCAGGGTCCGACTATAAGGTAAAGCTTACAACCATAGCAGTTTGGCTATAATTGTGCTGGGAGGGCTTTGCCCTCCAAGCTGGGACTTGTATGTGGCTTTGCCACAAGTTAGTCCAAGGCTTGATCCTGTCCAAACACTGTAGCCACTCTCCACACCACTCTAGTTCTAAAGTCCAACATGTGGTTGGCCAAGCCTGTCATTGGGCCCGTATAACCTCCTGAATTCTCCGTTTGACCAATCCAGACCCTCTCCTCCTTTCCACATATATTGATCCCAAGGACACTCCTTAAAATAGTTCTACATGCTAAATTCTACTTCAGTCTGCTTCCAGGGAAATCCAATCGATGACAAGTGACATGATACTATGCTTATGCTGCTGAAAGATCTTTCTGGCTGCTGTGAGGAGATGGGGTAAAATGGAAGCAGAGAGACTTGTTAAAAGGTACTACAATGGCCAAGATGGAAAATGACAGTGACTTGAGCTAGAAAGGCAGCAGAGGGGAAGTAACCGGTAATCATATTCCAGATACATGAGAACCAAGACAATAGGATTTATTAGTAGACTGATGAGATAGATTAGGATATTTCCAAAGTTTTTTGGCCTAAGCAACTAAAGAGTAGATTTGTCATTTGCCAAGAAAGGGATGATGTGGAGATGAAAAGTTCAGTTTGGGACATGTTGAGTTTAATATGCCTATTATTCAACCAAAAGGAGATGCCAAGTGGGCAGCTGCACATATGAATCTGGACTTCATAGTAGAGATCTCTGCTAGAGATAAAAATTTTGTCGTAATCAGCTTAAAGCTGCCATTTAAAACCACGAGCCTGAATGAGATGATCTAGTTCTGAAGGTTGATAGAGAAGCCCAATGTGTGCCCTCATTCAGGGGTGAGGAAGATGAGGAGGATTCAGCAAAGAAGACTAAGAAGAAGTCCAGGAGATAGGAAAGAGAGGTCTAAGAGTACAAATAAAGAAAGTGTTTCAAGGAGGACAGTGTGATCAGCTGTGTCATATGCTGCTAAT